GTATAAGGATGGCACTCCCACAATCATATTTCATTGTGTATATCATGATTTACGATATATACTCCTAAGGACACAAGTAATCTAAAGGAACAAAATTTTGCATTGTGATCGATTCATGTGTGAAGTTTAAACTTTCTTGTATCAGAAAGTACAAAATACAGAAAGCCTTGTCTGTGTACGAATACACACAACCCTCTGCAGTGTGTTTGACTCATGGTTGAATTTTGAAGATAAAATCTGTAATAGTTTTTAGATATGATCTGGAATCACCAATATGCACTAAAATGTACTTATTTTGGGTGCCATTTCCATTATACCAGGTATCAGGGTAACCGTAATTTAGCATAAATGTCTTGAAATCAGAAACTTAGAAAAAAAAGCATCTCTCTTCACTGTGATGGTCTTATTTATGTAGGGGAACATTCTTTGGAAACGCTTCTGTACAAAATTTGTAATGATAATTTGCACTTTGACAGCAGACTTGGTATATTTACTTAAAACCTTGACACCACTAAACAATTCTCCATTTCATATGCAAGGCAATACATTACAATGCCAGTGATCAATTTAATGTGTAACCTTTATATCAATTATATTCATCTGACAATATTCCAAGAAAAAAAACACCAAAACCTTTCATCAAAATATTAAAACCTAGTCTCAACAGGTCACAGTTAAATTTTGCACTAGTTAGTCTAAAAATCTTGTTTATTGTGCGACGTCACGTTACTTTTGTAGTGTGATGACGTGTATTGTGCGACATAACATTACTATTGTAGTGTGATGACGTGTATTGCGTGACGTCATGTTACTATTGTAGTGTGATGACGTGTTTTGTGTGACGTAACATTACTATTGTAGTGTGATGACGTGTACTGTGTGACGTAACATTACTACTGTAGTGTGATGATGTGTATTGTGCAAGGTCACATTACTATTGTAGTGTGATGATGTGTATTGTGTGACGTCATGTTACCATTGTAGTGTGATGATGTGTATTGTGTGACGTCACATTACTATTGTAGTGTGATGACGTGTATCGTGCTACGTCATGTTACTATTGTAGTGTGATGACTTTTATTGTGCGACGTAACATTACTATTGTAGTGTGATGACGTGTACTGTGTGACGTCACATTACTATTGTAGTGTGATGATGTGTATTGTGTGACGTCATGTTACCATTGTAGTGTGATGATGTGTATTGTGTGACTTCACATTACTATTGTAGTGTGATGACGTGTATTGTGTGACGTCACATTACTATTGTTGTGTGATGATGTGTATTGTGCGACGTCATGTTACTATTGTAGTGTGATGACGTGTATTGTGCGACGTCAAATAGCTATTGTAGTGTGATGACATGTATTGTGCGACGTAACATTACTATTGTAGTGTGATGGCGTGTATTGGGCGACGTTACATTACTATTGTAGTGTGATGATGTGTATTGTGTGACGTAACATTACTATTGTAGTGTGATGATGTGTATTGTGCGACGTCATGTTACTATTGTAGTGTGATGACGTGTATTGTGCGACGTAACATTACTATTGTAGTGTGATGACGTGTATTGTGCAACGTCAAATAACTATTGTAGTGTGATGACGTGTATTGTGTGATGTCACATTACTATTGTAGTGTGATGACGTGTATTGTGTGACCTAACATTACTATTGTAGTGTGATGATGTGTATTGTGTGATGTAACATTACTATTGTAGTGTGATGACGTGTATTGTGTGACCTAACATTACTATTGTAGTGTGATGACGTGTATTGTGCGACGTAACATTACTATTCTAGTGTGATGATGTGTATTGTGCGACGTAACATTACTATTGTAGTGTGATGATGTGTATTGTGTGATGTTATGTTACTATTGTAGTGTTATTATGTGTATTGTGTGACGTCATGTTACTATTGTAGTGTGATGATGTGTATTGTGTGACGTCATGTAACTATTGTAGTGTGATGACGTGTATTGTGTGACGTCATGTAACTATTGTAGTGTGATGTCGTGTATTTTGCGACGTCATGTTACTATTGCAGTGTGATGATCTGTATTGTGCCACGAAACATTACTATTGTAGTGTGATGGCGTGTATTGTGTGACGTCATGTAACTATTGTAGTGTGATGATGTGTATTGTGCGACGTCACATTACTATTGTAGTGTGATGATATGTATTGTGTGATGTCATGTTACTATTGTAGTGTGATGACGTGTACTGTGTGACGTCACATTTCTATTGAAGTGTGATGATGTGTACTGTTTGATGTCACATTACTATTGTAGTGTGATGACGTGTACTGTGTGACGTCACATTTCTATTGAAGTGTGATGATGTGTACTGTTTGATGTCACATTACTATTGTAGTGTGATGACGTGTATTGTGTGATGTCACATTACTATTGTAGTGTGATGACGTGTACTGTGTGACGTCACATTACTATTGTAGTGTGATGACGTGTACTGTGTGACGGCACATTACTATTGTAGTGTGATGACATGTACTGTTTGACGTCACATTACTTTTGTAGTGTGATGGCGTGTATTGTGTGATGTCATGTTACTATTGTAGTGTGATGACGTGTACTGTTTGACGTCACATTACTATTGTAGTGTGATGACATGTACTGTTTGACATCACATTACTTTTGTAGTGTGATGGCGTGTACTGTTTGACGTCACATTACTATTGTAGTGTGATGGCGTGTATTGTGTGATGTCATGTTACTATTGTAGTGTGATGACGTGTACTGTGTGACGTCACATTATTATTGTAGCGTGATGACATGTACTGTGTGAACTCACATTACTATTGTAGTGTGATGACGTGTACTGTGTGACGTCACATTACTATTGTAGCGTGATGACATGTACTGTGTGAAGTCACATTACTATTGTAGTGTGATGACGTGTATTGTGTGACGTCATGTTACTATTGTAGTGTGATGATGTGTATTGTGCGACGTCATGTTACTATTGTAGTGTGATGATGTGTATTGTTTGACGTCACATTACTATTGTAGTGTGATGATGTGTATTGTGTGACGTCACATTACTATTGTAGTGTGATGACGTGTACTGTGTGACGTCACATTACTATTGTAGTGTGATGACATGTACTGTTTGACGTCACATTACTTTTGTAGTGTGATGGCGTGTATTGTGTGATGTCATGTTACTATTGTAGTGTGATGACGTGTACTGTGTGACGTCTCATTACTATTGTAGTGTGATGACGTGTACTGTTTGACGTCACATTACTATTGTAGTGTGATGGCGTGTATTGTGCGACGTCATGTTACTATTGTAGTGTGATGACGTGTACTGTTTGACGTCACATTACTATTGTAGTGTGATGACGTGTACTGTGTGACGTCACATTACTATTGTAGTGTGATGACGTGTACTGTGTGACGTCACATTACTATTGTAGTGTGATGACATGTACTGTTTGACGTCACATTACTTTTGTAGTGTGATGGCGTGTATTGTGTGATGTCATGTTACTATTGTAGTGTGATGACGTGTACTGTGTGACGTCTCATTACTATTGTAGTGTGATGACGTGTACTGTTTGACGTCACATTACTAATGTAGTGTGATGACGTGTACTGTGTGACGTCATATTACTATTGTAGTGTGATGACGTGTACTGTGTGACGTCACATTACTATTGTCGTGTGATGGCGTGTGTTGTGTGATGTCATGTTACTATTGTAGTGTGATGACGTGTACTGTGCGACGTCACATTACTATTGTAGTGTGATGATGTGTATTGTGCAACGTCACATTACTATTGTAGTGTGATGACGTGTATTGTGCGACGTCATGTTACTATTGTAGTGTGATGGCGTGTATTGTGTGATGTCATGTTACTATTGTAGTGTGATGACGTGTACTGTTTGACGTCACATTACTAATGTAGTGTGATGACGTGTACTGTGTGACGTCATATTACTATTGTAGTGTGATGATGTGTATTGTGCGACGTCACATTAATATTGTAGTGTGATGACGTGTATTGTGTGACGTCACATTACTATTGTAGTATGATGACGTGTGAGTATGACATCATGACCTTTTCCTTTTGAAGTAAACCTGAAGAGCCCTGTGAAGATGAAAGCTGCCAGTTTTGAAGTTGGTCCTTATATCTTATTTGTTCTGTATATTTTGTACTTTTTCACTAGAACACAGCAACCAAACTCAAACAAAACAAGATCACAAACTTGTGTATAAAACAATCTGAGACAGTCAACTGTGATACAACATCATTCTTAGATAGGGTGAATTCTTTAATGTACAATAAGACATCAATACGTTTGTTCACGACAGCCAAACCACACCTTAAAGCTTGTGTACATCAACGTGAATCTATAAATCTGAGAAATCTCCAGGAGACAGAGTTAAAAAATAAAATATCTAGACACTAAAATAATTTTAATGTAATATTTACACGTGACCAGGTGTCAAACCAGTCGTTATACCAGGTTTCTTACTTAGCCAAAGCTTATTACTAAATCATGCTAGGTTTATAATTAGGTCCTATGTGAGTTCTACGCTAGCTATAGATCTAGACTTTACACTGTTATGTTTCTAGCTTCTGTCTGTACCAGCAAAGATAGGATTATTACCTGTAGCTGCTGGGTACAGGAGTTGACAGTTATCTCCCCTTTGTGTGACTTTATAGTTGTCGTGATCAGTCATTTATTAACCTTGCTTCAGGCCTTGTTCTTTACATTGTTTTAATAAGAAATTTTGCCATACCTGTAAATCTATCATAATATTATAGACATAATTTTTTTGAAATTTTAACAGATATCCATAAATCTCTCGGAGAAGATTTGTTTTGTTAAATATAACATTTAAAATAGAGATATATATAGTAGATACAGCCAACATGCCCTGCAGCAAATGGGAGATAACTTAGGAATCAGAATGCTGGTGTTCATTAGTGATAACAAGGCTAGTGTTGGACAGTAGGAGGGTTACCTGGGTGAAACTTTCATGTTGGCGGCGTCCAGTGCGTTGCCGTTTCCACCAGCAGCACTACCTAAACCAAAGTCCACTGTATGTGCAAAAAGACGCAACTTATTAAAATCATAATCAACAGCCTGTGCTCGATTGTGATGGTAGTGCTAGCTTACATAATGATGGGGGATGGACACTAAATGTACAAAAATAAATGTATTCAGTGTTTTCAGACTCTTTAACATGTTAAGTACTATCGGTTATAATGATAACAACTATCGGTTATAATGATAACACACTTAATTTGAAACTTATCATGTTATTACTGCAGTACCTAAACATTAAATATTGCACTGGATTTTATCTCACAATTTTAGCCAAAATTTTAGCCAAAATTTTTAGCCAAAAATTGTGCTTTTACATTCATACATAAAACAAATGGAGAGATGATTTTGATGGTTTAATGTATGGTCATATACTTGCTATATCTCCCTGTACTACCATTTTTTACCTAAGTCCTTCAGTGTTTATTTTTGAAATCAATCAAATTCTAGGCATATTGTCTTTTACTATAATTCACTTACTTCATAACATGAACAACTAATGATATTTTACACTGTTATTTTGTAAATAGGGGTCTTTGTAAGGAATCTCTGACATTTTGCTTTTTGTCACATATTTTTTGCATGAATTTCTTTGAAAGGCTGGTTAGCATTATCAAAATTCTATATATTTGATATTTTAATTTATAACAAATAGTAGTAATCTTAATCACAAACTTAAAAAAAAATCTATAATCAGAACTAGAAACCAAAACTTGAACGATACATTAATTAGGGCCTTGAGTTAACACATTTATACTGATAACAGCTCTACTTAATTAAGTCACCAACGTTTACTGCAAAAAGTAAAAGCTTTGGCAATGAAGCAATCAGCCATATCTATAGCAAATTATTGCAAATCAACAAAATGCACCAAACTATACACCACAACTTATCAAAACAAAAACATAAATTAGATTTCCATGTATTAAATGATACAAAAAAAGTTTTTACCGGTAAATTTAAAATGTAAGCAAAAACAAAAAACCAAATTCATCAACCAATTAGAATACGAACATACCACTCAGAAATCAATACTGCACCGAAAGTTAAAAAAAAAAAAGTAACAAAACATTTCCCATTGCTCCGATAAATGGGCCACAACAAATGATAAAGTGTACTTTAGCAGTAGATCAAGAGCTCGAGGCAGCAATGCTTAAGTTAGGATCCCCGTACCACTGCAAAAAACTGTAACTACCGGTAAGTAATGGAAACTGTTTTTACCGGCATGACTACAGCTTCGATGATTTTTTTTTTTTTTTTAAATCACACCCTGCGGGACTTTTTCAGAAATAATAAAGATGAAATAAACAAAATATAATCAACAATAGCGTTCTGAATGTAAAAAAACCCAGTGGGGGTTAACCCTGGATTAGGACCCTGGATTACAGATTGATATAATATGAGCTACCTGTTTAACGGAAGTGTCCCGACCCAACTGTGCTACAGTTATATTGGAAAGTTAAGGGGAGGCTACTGTATATAGGAAAAATCACAATACAGTTGGACAGGGATCCTTAAGACCCAAAAACAGGTGAACACATAACATTCTCTAAACAAGGATGTAGTTCTGTCTTATCACACACATACAACACATGACTTCACAGATGTCAATTTATGTAAGAAAACGCATCTTAGTTTCTTACTTAAACATTGTCAGTATATCAAAACAGTATAATATCTAAATGTGCTTTTTATGGTATATCTAGCATAACTGTGTCCAATAGAATGCTGTGTGAGAGACAAATTTTCACACTTAAGGAGCTACCCACTACTGCCAAAAATTATAACCATGCACTAGAAACTGATTTTGCAGGCATGACTACGACATTTGATAAATCATTTCCAGGCACGTAACAACCTATGTAGCAAAAAAGCCTGGGCTTACACATCATTTTTGACAAAATAAAAAAATATATAAACGCAACATAGACTTTATGATATAAAATATTAAAAAGCAATGACAGGTGTTTTGTATCTGCTATAAAGACCGCCAACTAAAATGCTTCGTTGCAATCAAAATCTCTAACAAATGTAGAACTGAGGGTAGCAAATTCATTCGGCATGGTAATCGCGCCAGTGAAACTCTAGCCTTGTTAATAATCGTTGTACCCAAAATCTAACTCTAGTTTTCCCCGTGAAATAAAGTATTTCTAAATTTCTTTACCGCTTTTATACATATAAAGGGAACAGTATGGTTGGTAGCCTGGCTTCAATCATTTGACATGGTAACCGTGTCAGTGCAACTCTAACTATACAAATTATTGGTATACACATAGTACTCACTATGACCAGTATATCGGTTCTTATGTACATAATGTTAAACTATTCCTAGTGCTAGCTAGCTAGCATAGATGAGTACCAATTTCCTACGTACCCAAAAAGAAGCAAAATATTTGTAAAATAATAGGGGAAAACGATATTTTCTTGCTTAAAAAATGGCCATTGAAGCTGACGCCAGAACACGGGAGAACGTGTCTCAGGCGTTCTAGAAAACAAAATTCTCCTGGGGGAGACACCCAGCGCTTTTAGTAAGAAATCGCGTAAGCAGATATGCCAAAACGCGGAAAGTTGAAACTCAACAGAAAAACCCATAATATATGTTGAACATTATTGCTTCTAGCATTACCGTACAAAACTTGAAAGGAATTGATTGAAAAAAATATAAGCTTGCATTTACTACACAATGCCCTTATATGGCAATAAAAGAGGCATAACTCCACCAAAAATGCTTTTAAACTTCTGAAATGCAAACATGTCGGAGCTATATTGGTATGCAATATGTTTACCAAGTTTGAGTCCAATCAACCCAAGGGAGCTCAAGTTATCTCACGGAAACCTTGTTTCGGACGACGCAACCGACGACAAAGTAATACCTATATGTCGCCTCACGTCGCAGGCGACACAAGAGAACTACAGTTCCATGGAAAAAGGATCCTTAACATTGTGAGTACCTTGTACATGTGTGTGTGAGTAATAAGTCTAGTACAGGACATAAGGTACACTGTTAGTACCTCATACATGTATGTGTGAGTAATAAGTCCAATACAGTACATATGGTACACTGTTAGTACCTCGTACATGTTTGTGTGAGTAATAAGTCTAATACAGTACATAAGGTACACTGTAAGTACCTCGTACATGTTTGTGTGAGTAATAGGTCTAGTACAGGACATAAGGTATACTGTTAGTACCTTGTACATGTATGTGTGAGTTATAAGTCTAGTACAGGACATAAGGTACACTGTTAGTACCTTGTACATGTGTGTGTGAGTAATAAGTCTAGTACAGGACATAAGGGACACTGTTAGTACCTCGTACATGTGTGTGTGAAAAATAAGTCTAGCACAGGACATAAGGTACACTGTTAGTACCTCGTACATGTGTGTGTGAAAAATAAGTCTAGCACAGGACATAAGGTACACTGTTAGTACCTCGTACATGTGTGTGTGAAAAATAAGTCTAGCACAGGACATAAGGTACACTGTTAGTACCTCGTACATGTGAGTGTTAGTAATAAGTCTAGTACAGGACATAAGGTACACTGTTAGTACCATGTACATGTATGTGTGAGTAATAAGTCTAATACAGGACATAAGGTACACTGTTAGTACCTCGTACATGTGTGTGTGAGTAATAAGTCTAGTACAGTACATAAGGTACACTGTTAGTACCTTGTACATGTGTGTACGAGTAATAAGTGTAGTACATGACATAAGGTACACTGTTAGTACCTCGTACATGTGTGTGTGAGTAATAAGTCTAATACAGGACATAAGGTACACTGTTAGTACCTCATACATGTATGTGTGAGTAATAAGTCTAGTACAGGACATAAGGGACACTGTTAGTACCTTGTACATGTATGTGTGAGTTATAAGTCTAGTACAGGACATAAGGTACACTGTGAGTACCTCGTACATGTGTGTGTGAGTAATAAGTCTAGACAGGACATAAAGTACACTGTTAGTACCTTGTACATGTATGTGTGAGTTATAAGTCTAGTACAGGACATAAGGTACACTGTTAGTACCTTGTACATGTGTGTACGAGTAATAAGTGTAGTACATGACATAAGGTACACTGTTAGTACCTCGTACATGTGTGTGTTAGTAATAAGTCTAGCACAGGACATAAGGTACACTGTTAGTACCTCGTACATGTGTGTGTTAGTAATAAGTCTAGCACAGGACATAAGGTACACTGTTAGTACCTCGTACATGTGAGTGTTAGTAATAAGTCTAGTACAGGACATAAGGTACACTGTTAGTACCATGTACATGTATGTGTGAGTAATAAGTCTAATACAGGACATAAGGTACACTGTTAATACCTTGTACATGTTTATGTGAGTAATAAGTCTAGTACAGGACATAAGGGACACTGTTAGTACCTTGTACATGTATGTGTGAGTTATAAGTCTAGTACAGGACATAAGGTACACTGTTAGTACCTCGTACATGTGAGTGTTAGTAATAAGTCTAGTACAGGACATAAGGTACACTGTGAGTACCTCGTACATGTGTGTGTGAGTAATAAGTCTAATACAGGACATAAGGTACACTGTTAATACCTTGTACATGTTTATGTGAGTAATAAGTCTAGTACAGGACATAAGGCACACTGTTAGTACCTCGTACACGTATGTGTGAGTTAAACATCTAGCACAGGATATATGGTACACTATATGTGAGGCATATTATATTAAAACTACCTGGTATGTATAAGATAGACATTTTTTATAACTAAAAAATAGTGCAGTCCATTTTTCATGACAACAAAAAATGAATGTGAAAAATAAGGCAATTAGCAAACAGTAACAAGATATTAATTGAAATACAGGATGCTTAGAAAATCATTTCAGGTCAAAATGATAGAACACACAGCAAAGCAACTCAGCTTTTAATTTGAGTCAATTATAAAACTCAGCACTTAGGGCAATATCCTCTAAATGTTAGCGGTCTATAAAACTCAACACTCAGGGTAAGATTTTAATTTGAGTCATTCTGAAACTCAACCCTGAGGGCAATATCCTCAAAAGATGAGTCATTTATAAAATGTTTATAAAAAAAGGAATAAGGTATTTTTTCTAGAATCAAAATATGTCTAATGTGAAATTCTATTATTCTTTAACCTGCAGTATTTCTTTATCCATATGCATGATAAATGCCTGGTCACAGACATTTTGTTGAATGACTACAGATAAATATCCAGGGTAAGTATGGCCACTACACTACAGAAACACCGTCCTATTATTGCTATAGAGATTTAGTCAAGCAAGCCGTTCTCAGTGTTATTATGGCTGTTAACAGTCTATACTCGGCACTAGTACGCGTGTGAACAGTACTTGCCTGCTGCGAGACCTAACATTACTGAAAGGAAATAACACAACACTTTGTTTGAAAAACTTTGAACAAGAATATCCTATAAATTGTGTAGGAAGGACGAATTGCGTTCTTCAGTAACTATCAATTCATCAATCATACCATGTCCTTCCTCCTTTTCAGAGATATACCTATTCTTTTCAATTTTCCACATGATCTTTGAAGGAAAAACACTGACCAATAACAAAACATTTAGGGTATCCTAAAGATTAAATGTTTACAGAGTAACATATTGTTTTTAATTTCAGAAAAGTCTTAAACTATATTTTTTTGCATGGATATCATACATTTTCATTATACATACATGTCGAAGATATGACTATTTTTCTTTAACCAGGTAAAGCTTACAAAGTCCCTAAAGGTTTTAACTTAAGTGATCACAAACTTTCTCTATAGCAGGCTAATTCATTCGTAAACAATCAATCAAAACATAAAATCAAATTAAGGCAGGTTTGATAAAAAGCAGAGGTTGGTTGTAATTGGCAAATAATAAACCAGCTAGCTATTTAGCCAGTATCACACGTGTAGTCTCCCGGATCTTTATACCCATACATGTGTATAAACTACAGTTTTGTCTTTACTGCCAAAATATGCTACAGCACAACACCCAGTAACATAACTCTTCTTCTGAGGTCATGTAAACTGTAAAATAGTAGGTCTTCTAAAACGTGATTAAATCAACTAATCTTGATGATGAAACAGTAGAAATTAAACCATTGGTTAATGTATGACGTTGAACAACAAAACCTCTTATTTTGAAAAAGAATAGTAAATTTTTTTTTACAAGCACAAACGTTAAATCAGCTTTATTATAAAATATGCAAATTGGGTGAATGAGAATGAAGTTTCCTTGTATGAATGAGAATGTAATTCCTTTGTATGAATGAGATGTAATTCCTTTGTATGAATGACAATGTAATTCCTTTGTATGAATGAGAACGTAGTTCCTTTGTATGAATGAGATGTAATTCCTTTGTATGAAGGAGATGTAATTCCTGGGTATGAATGACAATGTAATTCCTTTGTATGAATGAGATGTAATTCCTTTGTATGAATGAGATGTAATTCCTAGGTATGAATGAGAATGTAATTCCTTGGTATGAATGAGATGTAATTCCTGGGTATGAATGAGATGTAATTCCTTTGTATGAATGAGATGTAATTCCTAGGTATGAATGAGAATGTAATTCCTTGGTATGAATGAGATGTAATTCCTGGGTATGAATGAGATGTAATTCCTTTGTATGAATGAGATGTAATTCCTAGGTATGAATGAGAATGTAATTCCTTGGTATGAATGAGATTTAATTCCTGGGTATGAATGAGATGTAATTCCTTTGTATGAATGAGATGTAATTCCTGGGTATGAATGAGATGTAATTCCTAGGTATGAATGAGAATGTAATTCCTTTGTATGAATGAGATGTAATTCCTGGGTATGAATGAGATGTAATTCCTGGGTATGAATGAGATGTAATGCCTTTCTATGAATGAGATGTAATTCCTGGGTATGAATGACAATGTTATTCCTGGGTATGAATGACAATGTAATTACTGGGTATGAATGACAATGTAAATCCTCTGTACATACATAAATGATAATCTGATATACACAAGCTCACATGTTAATGGCATTCTCTCAGCATTTTTAATTTCAACAATTTGTGAAAAAATGTGATAGATGCATATTAGGTATTTTCTTTGCTTTAAGTTCAGTGAAACAGATTTGGGACATTGACAATTCTAAAATGACCTGACTCTGGCTGAACACTAATCACAGATGAAAACATGCATAAAATAAATCGATCAATCACCATTTTGACATGCATTTTTTTTTAATTACAAAACATGTATTAATTGTTATATCTGGCAAGCAAAATTTGAAGCAATATACTTATTTAATGCACATGCATAGTTCATTGCTCCCAGAGTACCAGCAGCAATGTCATCCCACTTATTGACAACATACACATGCATCCTATACCCAGCACACCCACCCCTACAATGTTATCCCACTTATTGACAACATACACATGCATTCTAGACCCAGTATACCCACCCTCTACAATGTCATCCCACTTATTGCCAACATACACATGCATCCTATACCCAGCACACCCACCCCCTACAATTTCATCTTTTCATCTGCAGCTACACAATGGTTTTATTATCAAAATCAGACAAATACATCCCAATCTTTTCATCTACAATTACCTAATGATTTACTTATTCCACTCCGACAAACCTGCCCTAACTCTGCATGTGTTTTGCCTCCCCCTATAAGGCTCAAGCAGATCTACATCTCCCCAGCATGCAAGTATTAATTACCATCACCTCCCCTACCCAGCCTGCCATCAGTACCGAAATTACCTTGGCCTCCAGTCTCAAACAGATCCCAACCTACCCTGCCTGCCATCAGTAATTACCTTGGCCTCGGTCTCAAACAGATTCCAACCTACCCTGCCTGCCATCAGTAATTACCTTGGCCTCAGTCTCAAACAGACCCACACCTACCCTGCCTGCCATCAGTAACTACCTTGGCCTCAGTCTCAAACAGACCCACAACTACCCTGCCTGCCATCAGTAATTACCTTGGCCTCCAGTCTCAAACAGATCCCAACCTACCCTGCCTGCCATCAGTAATTACATTGGCCTCGGTCTCAAACAGATCCCAACCTACCCTGCCTGCCATCAGTAATTACCTTGGCCTCAGTCTCAAACAGATCCCAACCTACCCAGCTGGCCATCAGTAAATACCATGGTCTCCAGTCTCAAACAGACCCACACCTACCCTGCTGGCCATCAGTAATTACCTTGGCCTCAGTCTCAAACAGATCCCAACCTACCCAGCTGGCAATCAGTAATTACCTTGGCCTCAGTTACAAACAGATCCACACCTACCCAGCCTGCCATCAGTAATTACCTTGGCCTCCAGTCTCAAACAGACCCACACCTACCCAGCTGGCCATCAGTAATTACCTTGGCCTCCAGTCTCGAACAGACCCCCACCTACCCAGCCTGCCATCAGTAATTACCTTGGCCTCCAGTCTCAAACAGACCCACCCCTACCCAGCCTGCCATCAGTAATTACCTTGGCCTCCAGTCTCAAACAGACCCACACCTTCCCAGCCTGCCATCAGTAATTACCTTGGCATCCAGTTGTATCAAACAGACCCACACCTACCCAGCTGGCCATCAGTAATTACCTTGGCCTCCAGTCTCGAACAGACCCACACCTACCCAGCCTGCCATCAGTAATTACCTTGGCATCCAGTTGTCTCAAACAGACCCACACCTACCCAGCTGGCCATCAGTAATTACCTTCGCCTCCAGTCTCAAACAGACCCAAACCTACCCAGCTGGCCATCATTAATTACCTTGGCCTCAATCTGAAACAGACCCCAACCTACCCAGTCTGCTGCCATCAGGAATTACCTTGGCCTCAATCTGAAACAGACCCCAACCTACCCAGTATGCTGCCATCAGTAATTACCTTGGCCTGCAGTCTCATCAGATGATGGTGACTGATTAACTTTCCTCATTGACTTGCGACGTCTACGCCTACCAGACCTAGCTTCACTACTGGAAGTGTCTGCCATACCCGGCTGTCTGTGCTGGCCCTTGTTCCCTGCACTTCCCATCTTAGGGCTGGGGTTTCTCCTCTTCAGGTACATGTATCGGCGACGGCGTTTCGGAGATTCACTGTTGCATAATGATCAATATGGTGAATTCTAATGCATTTAACATTGTATCAATTTCTTCTGTGGTAATATTTAAGTAATTTTACACATCATACTCTACATCATATTTTGTTTTAAAGGACGAAAAAAAAAAAAAATTGTAAATGATTTTCAAAAACTGGTGCACAGATATCCTTGAATAGTCTTTTGAATGAATTCAGTGACTTTATTAAAACACAAATTACAACCTTAGTTGTCAGCAAACACTGTGCTTTTTACACAAACATTGGAATGTTCTATCAGTTGCCATTGATCACAATGTGATAAACAAGTGAAATCTGTTAATGTATTTACCACCATGCAATAGTACAGTTATATAGGTATCCAGCGTTTATAAGATCTGGTCATAGTGAATAATATAAGCATACAAAGGCATTGGCAGATTTTTATATTTGTAGACTGCGGGTACATAGTTGTACATTATGTGAATTGCTCAATACATAGGCCTGGCCTAGTCTGTCCATATGTGTATGTTTACGTCACACCTGAGTGAGAGAGAGTGGCGAGCATGGACATCGAGCACCTGTGACTGTGCATGCCTCTTGACTGGGCATGCCTCTAGACTGTGCATGCCTCTAGACTGTGCATGCCTCTAGACTGTGCATGCCTCGCTAGTATTCTGGTACGCGCATGCGCAGCCACATGTCCTCGCACACCACAACCCCTCATCCTATCACTCGCAGCCAGGGCACAGAGCGGGACGGTCATGTACCACCGAGACCTGAATTTAATGAATAGATAGAAAGTCTTTTAACAGTTGAAAAAGTCACTCTTGATGTACATACTTGTTAGGTTCTGTGAATGTGTTGTTCTCAGCTGCTGATAATGGGGGCTGAGGGAAGGTCCCAGACACCTCTGGCTGGCTGAGGTTGGGTCCTGAGGCTGAGTAGTTGGCCCCAGAAATGCTGGCGGAGGACACTTGGCCTGCCCGAGAGGATGACGGTCCTATGCTGTGTAGGCTGCGCGCACTATTCACCATGGTTGAGGTAGCATTCTGGCGAATGTTATTAAGATTGTATAAGTTACTAGGAGTATGAGGGCCTACAGAAGAAGGACTGGCACCCAGTCCTTCGGGTATAGAATGACGTGGAGTTTCTGACGGCAACTGTTCTGCATTAGCTTTTTTTAACGGATATGTCTGCATATTTGATCTCTGACCATAGCGACCACTCGGCACCCGAGGGGGAGGTAAATCCTGCTGAGCTTGAATATCCATTTTGACAGGCTGGTTTCCTGTGGGTAATGGGATCCGACTCGGAGGACCCGATTTCTTTGCTATAGCCAACTGAAAAAGCAAAATCATATATCTAATGTAAACACTAAAACACTGCTTGTTAACCATTTAAAATGTTCCATGTTACTTTACATCCTCTATATCCTTGTTTTATCTCATACAGTCAGCTTATTGTGTCTTGTACTAAAAACTGAATAGCTAAGACAATGCTTATGAATGATGTCCGAGGATAGTAATACCAGCCTCACCAAATTCACATGACGTAGTGGCTGTAATTTCTCCTCCTCAGGGCTATGGATGGTAGCATCAGCCGACAGCTGTCGCATCACCTTCACTTCACTGTTGTGAGCGTTCGTCATTGACAGGGTGACCGGCGCTGAACCACTGCCTGAGCTGCTGGGCTGACCTACAGACCTCGAGGAAGATGACCCAAAGTTAGGTACGTTGGATCCACGTCGTCGCTGCTGTGGTACAACGGTTGTTCTGGTAGCTGTCAACAAACAGTGTCAGCAATTTTATACTCAAACTAACAGCTAGTTGACACCAGATAAGACAAACAAACTGAAAATACATCATCACAGGTAAAAGGTTAAGATCTTTGTGTACTCAGAACCTGGAAATAGTGACATATTTTTTCTAAACAGTTAATTAAAATCTAGATAAAAGAAAGAAATGAAATTTAAAAAAACAAAAAACAACCTGAAAGCAATTTTGTCAGAATTTAATGTTTCACAAACCATTAGAGAGGACAACTGTTTTAGTAAAACTAAAGAGGATAACTTAACTAGTTACACTAGAGTGGGTCACTGTACTAGTTACACTAGAGTGGGTCACTGTACTAGTTACACTAGAGTGGGTCACTGTACTAGATACACTAGAGTGGGTCACTGTACTAGTTACACTAGAGTGGATCACTGTACTAGTTACACTAGAGTGGGTCACTGTACTAATTATACTGGAGTGGGTCACTGTACTAGTTACACTAGAGTGGGTCACTGTACTAGTTATACTAGAGTGGATCACTGTACAAGTTACACTAGAGTGGGTTACTGTACTAGTTACACTGGAGTGGGTCACTGTACTAGTTACACTAGAGTGGATCACTGTACTAGTTACACTAGAGTGGGACACTGTACTAGTTATACTAGAGTGGATCACTGTACAAGTTACACTAGAGTGTGTTACTGTACTAGTTACACTAGAGTGGGTCATTGTACTAGTTACACTAGAGTGGGTCACTATATTAATTATACTAGAGTCAGTCACTTTATATTAGCTACACTATAAAGTTTTACTGGATTGGGTCACTTTTCTAGTTACACTAGAGTGGGTCACTATACTAGAACACTAGAGTAGGTCACTATACTAGAACACTAGAGTGGATCACTGTACTAGTTACATTAGAGTGGGTCACTGTACTAATTATACTTGAGTGGGTTACTGTACTAGTTACACTAGAGTGGGTCATTGTACTAGTTACACTAGAGTGGGTCACTATATTAATTATACTAGAGTCAGTCACTTTATATTAGCTAGTTACACTAGAGTGGGTCACTGTACTAATTATACTTGAGTGGGTCACTGTACTAGTTACACTAGGGTTGGTCACTGTACTAGAACACTAGAGTGGGTTACTGTACTAGTTCCACTGGAGTGGGTCACTGTACTAGTTACTCTAGAGTGGGTCACTGTACTAGTTCCACTAGAGTGGGTCACTGTACTAGTTATACTAGAGTGGATCACTGTACAAGTTACACTAGAGAGGGTTACTGTACTAGTTACACTGGAGTTGGTCACTGTACTAGTTACACTAGAGTGGGCCACTGTACTAGTTACACTAGAGTGGGTCACTATATTAATTATACTAGAGTCAGTCACTTTATATTAGCTACACTATACAGTTTTACTGGATTGGGTCACTTTTCTAGTTACACTAGAGTGGGTCACTTTACTAGTTACACTAGAGTGGGTCACTGTCCTAGTTACACTAGAGTGGGTCACTGTACTAATTATACTGGAGTGGGTCACTGTACTAGTTACACTAGAGTGGGTCACTTTATTTATTATACTAGAGTCAGTCACTATTTTAGTTACACTATACAGTTTTACTGGATTGAGTCACTTTTCAAGTTACACTAAAGTGGGTCACTATATTAATTATAATAATGTTGGTCACTATACTAGCTACACTATACAGTTTTACTCGATTGGGTCACTTTTCTAGTTACACTAGAGTGGGTCACTATATTTATTATACTAGAGTCAGTCACTATTTTAGTTACACTACAGTTTTACTGGATTGGGTCACTTTTCAAGTTACACTAAAGTGGGTCACTATATTGATTATACTAGAGTCAGTCACTTTATATTAGCTACACTATACAGTTTTACTGGATTGGGTCACTTTTCTAGTTACACTAGAGTGGGTCACTTTATTAATTACACTAGTGTTGGTCACTATTTTAGTTACACTATACAGTTTTATTGGATTGGGTCACTTTATTAATTATACTAGAGTCGGTCACTATATTAGCTACACTATACAGTTTTACTGGATTGGGTCACTTTTCTAGATACACTAGAGTGGGTCACTATATTATTTATACTAGAGTCGGTCACTTTTCTAGTTACACTAGAGTGGGTTTCTTTTCAAATTACACAGTCTTGATCAATCACAAACTGCCCGACTGCAGCATGCAAGAAGCATTCTCTATCATAATGTACTTATTGGGTTTCTTTTCAAATCGCACAGTCTTGATCAATCACAAACTGCCCGACTGCAGCATGCAAGAAGCATTCTCTATCATAATGTACTTATATGACTATATTTAAAAGAGTACAAGATTTAATGTTGCTTACTCTCCCTAACTGGCCCTAGCTCCCTTTTCTGGTTCTGCGAGTTCTGCAAGTCACGACGGTTGAAGCGCGAGGCAGAATTGTTACTGCTAGTGGTGGATTCCACCGAGTTCATGCGAGCCGGATTAGGACGTCCTCCGGGGCCTGTATCGTTGTTGGTACGATTTAGACGGTTATTGTTCTGGTTAGTTGTAATGCTGCAGGAAAACATGAGACATCTTTTTAAATCAAACTAAACAGCCCATAAAAGTAGTTTTTTTCTCTTTAAAACTTTAAAACAACAATAAAATTGTAGTTCATTTAGGATGTTAAGCCATTGTCTGTACAGTGATGGAAGTTTTGGTTCCCTCACCCTACTCTAGATACCTGAAAGTATGTAGGTTGACAGATAAGTTAGAGTGAGAGTTTAGTGCATCAAAATTTCATAAATCTATTGGTTAAATGATCAGATGTACTGGTATAAAATCACTGTAAGGATCCCGATATCACTGACATAAATTGTAATTATGCATCGGAAGCTGATTTTTTTGCATGACTATAGCTTTGATAAATCATTTCTGGAAAGAAAATCATACTTTGCAGGACTTTCATAAAAAAATGATAAAGATGAAATCAATACAGATGAGATTTATAAAATGTAATCAACCAAAGTGTTATGGGTGTAAACATTCTGTGGGGCTAGAGCGAGATTTGAACCCTACCCTGCAGATTGTTACACTACCACTCTTACTGACAGAGCCACCTGGTCAACGGGAGTGACCTGGCCCAACTTCGCTCCTGTTATATCTAAAACAAAATAAAGGGGAGGTAATTGTATATACGAAAAACTACAGTGCAGTGGGACGGGATCCTTTAACAGTCACAACATATTCAGGGCATTTTTTTCTTGCATCTCTGCCTGCTCTCTGAAGTGCAATATACTATCAAACCTTGACGATCTTTGTCCAGCCTCTGTAACCTTTTGTCAGGCAGTTCAATGGAACCTTTCCTATCAGTACTCACCTGTTTCTAACAAAGGACTTGGTCGGATTCCTAGGAATTCTTGGCCCTCCTCTCATGCCTCGGAGGTAGCGCTTTACGCTCTCCCGTACGCCATGTACACTGTTCATCTCTGACAAAGTCAGTCTGGACCAGGGGTTTGAGTCGGTGAAATCCAGAGCAGCAATGGACAGAGCTCGGCCAACCTAAATTAGAAATTATTTATACAGCTATGTCAGGTCTGACAAAAGGACAGAGCTCGGCCAACCTAAATTAGAAATTATTTAAACAGCTATGTCAGGTCTGACAACAGGACAGAGCTCGGCAAACCTAAATTAGAAATTATTTATACAGCTATGTCAGGTCTGACAATAGGATAGAGCTTGACCAACTTAAATTAGAAATTATTTATACAGCTATGTCAGGTCTAACAACAGGACAGAGCTCGGCCAACCTAAATTAGAAATTATTACTACAGCTATGTCAGGTCTGACAACAGGACAGATGTCGGCAAACCTATACTGAAAGCTATTTTAACACTTCAAATTGTTTAGTTACAAACTAACATTCACGCTTTATCACAATAAAACATTGAGGTTTGTAGGTGAGTAATTTATCTATGGACTTACTATTATATATTTGTTATTACTGAAGACACCATTATATATTTGTTATTACTGAAGACACCATTATATATTTGTTATTACTGAAGACACCATTATATATTTATAATATTCATACCTTAGGAAATGCTTTCAAAAGCTACTATATTTCTTTTACTAACCTCTTCAAAGTGTGCTTGTGTGTATCTAGGAGGAAAGGCTGCCATGGGAGGGGGTGTTGCCCTGCCGTCGTCCCCGTAGGCAGGAGGGACGGGGTTCACCATCCGCCCCGTGTTGTAATTACATTCCAATGTATAACTGTAGCACACAAGTACATTGATCTCAAAACACATAAAAAAAACACAACTATAGCAAGATAAATCCTTATTTCGTTAAACAACCTGAAATAAACTCATTGTATGCGTTGAATAAATAATATTCTTCCACTTTCTTGAATAAATATGAAATTATATTTTGCAGTGCTTTAAAAAACAAACTGAAAATACTTTCCTTTAAAAATTCATTACTAGCATTATGCTGTTCACTTCACTTCATTGCATACATCTGTCATATTTAAGTTATTGTTCTTTTTCTACATTTTAACTAGTATAAAAAACTACCAAGGTAATTATCAAACTATCAGTATCTTGTCACAAACTGACAACATCTTCTATAAAGCTATGGAGTATGGGGCTACCACTACAGTAACTTCATACACTCGTGTGCTAATATGGCGACAAGAATGTATAAACACCTGTGTATAATGCCGAGGGCTTTGTATATGGCCACCCGTCCGCTTCCCTCCTTAGACATCCCGTCACGTTTATCCTTCGTGTACATGTTACGCTCACTAAAGTTACAGCCCGTGAAGTCAAAATGGGCGGTGTTCATGGAAATCAACTTCGGGAACAACATGTTCTCTACCTGAAAACAACAACATAATTACTCACTCAATATAAACTCAATACAGTTTTTGTGTTAATGTAATTGATCTTAAGCTTGACTTCATTAAGCTATTATTATATATAACCATTATAACTTCTTACCCTACAGAACTAACATAAACATTTGAAAAGTACACTTTTGCAATTTTGCAGATTTTTCGTCAATATTGCTCAAGCTACTTGCCTGAGTGTCCTCGTTTTCAAAATAATTTCCATAGATAAAGCATCCCCTTTTGGAAGCATGTCCATGTAAGTCAACGTAGAAAGCAATGCCACTTTCCTGAGGAGGAATTTCTCGTAAACAAGGAGAGGAAAGATGAGGAGAGTTTGAACGAGAGATCACAGCTGGTGTAAAATTGCCTTCATCCTCGGATCCTTCATTACCCAGGTGTTCTGTGTCTGGATCTTCATTGTCCGAATCGTTTAACCCTACACTCATAGTCAACATACTCATGTGTGATAACTTCCCGCGACAGTTATCGTCCGACATAGTTAACTCCGACAGTCTGAGCCTCAACTCGCTGTCCACTGTTCTCCGGTCTTGTATAGTGGCATTGCTAAGAATACTACTACAGGAAGACGACACTCGTCCATGATCATCGACAGAAATATCCGCTGGCATACCGTTGTCCCCGTAGAGTGATGTATCAGTCCCATCTAGGCCAGCCAGATTCAACTTTTCTACTTTCATTCTGGGAGGCAACAGGCCACCATCATGATTTTCAGTCACCCAAGAATTTTCTTTTGTCTGAAGGGAATTTTCAGCACTGACACGCCCTCCATTTAGACCACTGTGACTGTTGTTTGCGTTATTGTCTCCCCTTGAGTTAGCACCACCAGTCGCCTGCCCATTACTTGATTTGTCAGGTTTTGGAGGGAGTTTGGAGTTTTTGGCAGGTTCGGATGAATGTTTTGGAATATCTGGACTAGAAGACACAACATTCGAGCCTGGGAAAGTGATTTTGATATCTAGTTTATCGCCTTCCTTAATAACACGGTTCTTAATGTGATGATACACTAGAATGCTCTTTGATGCATAGATAGATGGATGACTATTGATGTCGGGGTCCAAGTATAACCTGTTGAGGTTCACTCCGCGCTGATCAGTCCTGTAATGCCCTCTCTGAACTCCGTCAGGATTCAACAACGGAATCATTTTAAAAACAAATTGCTTGCGAAGGGCTTTGGCACGTGGGTCGTTTTCTCTTAGAATCAAATCTAGAAAACCATTAAAGACATAACTGGCAGGGGTTTCTCCTGGGTGGACTCTACTGCTCAACAGGTACACCTGAACAAATCCAAAATGTAAAATATTACACCTGCACAAAAGTGAAATATCTGTTATTAGTCCTGCATGAGCACAAAACATGAATTAAAATGCATTTAATACATCCACATAAATATGAAATATATTTTTTTATACCTGCACAAATAAAAATTATGCTACTAAATCAATTATCAATTTGCGATGTAAAATAGTAATTTTCACCAAATAAAAAGAAAAAAACACTGGACCAAAGAAGTTAATATACTTAGAATATGACATTAAGATCATTAAAATAACTACTAGGGGTTATACAAACCAAAAGGCACCAATTTCTAAAACATCCAACATCTTACCCGTTTCCCTCGGAATTTCTTAGGTCTTGGTACATCTTTATCTGGGAAGAGATTGCTGTCAAAACGAGGCTCTTCTTCATCAACAATACCATGGCAAGATGAAATGGTGACTAACTCTATGCGTAGATTGTCCAAGGACTTACAAAGAACTTCTCTATGGTAGTAAATGCTGTCTGGGTTACTGAAAAGTCAAAGGCAGGGTCCTTTTAATTCTCTTCAACATATTTTCTGCGACACATTATCATTATTATAACATACTTATAATTAAGAGCCCGTCAACACAAGAGATGTCATAAGGACCAACAAATGGTCAACAAAAACAAATACAAATCAAATCAATATCAAGGTTACAAACAAACGTCAACGTGAATATTGAAAGTGGCTATACAAGATATAAGATACAAGCAGGTTTATTCACCAAATCAAGGACCCATCGAGGGGCAATATATAAATAACAGTTATGATATATAATGACTTATATTTTTCCAAAAATATCAACAGATTTCAGATAGATCTAAATTGAAGAGAGTTATTTTTTTTGGAAAAGAGATTTTAGGCATGCAACGTTATTATGTATAGAAATTTTCTCAAGTTGGCCGAAGGTCGACACAATCTAATAACAAGAGATTTACTGTAAATGTTCCTTGAAATGCTATTAATTGAGGTTGGTTTTCATGTTTCAATAAATAACAAAGGGTAATGTAGGAATGACCCATCTGGAGACGGGCAAGAACAACCTGGTCTTGGCGCCTCCCTCTGTGTAGATGGGATGTCAATCACTGATTTCAGGCCTAACGGAGTGTCATTTCTTGTCTACACATTGATTCCAATGGTTCTACGACACAGAGACCCCATTTAGCTTTACTGAATGTGTTCAATTAACATTTACACTTCTGAACAAGAACAACTAAATTAGCATAATTGTCACCATAAAACATATATGTTAACCCTTTCACCCCGTGTAACATAAGTAGACTCTACCATGCATTGATATGGAGGAGTCCATTATGGTCTACAGTGGTGAAAGGGTGAACACAAACTTGGAGTCATACCTTTTTGTGGTAAGATTTTTGGCGTCTGCAAATTTCGTGTCCAGTAGATTCAGCTGTTCCTGGGTCTCAGTATAAGACCACGGGAAACAAAATGCAAAGTAGGCAGTAGCTCCCTTTAGGTCGAGGAATCGGTAGGTAAACGTGAGAATAAACTGACCGTCCACTGTCTGAAACAGGTACCACATTATCACCACACTGTATTACAAACATGGCAGAATCATTTACAATTTTTTAATGCAATGATGGATTGGTGATCGCAAAGATGATTAGACAGTTAATAAACATATGAGATAAACAGATTTACTTTAGGTATCTGAGCAACAAATACGCACGACGTGATATATTATATAAACAATAAACAAATAAAATTCATTTAAATACTATGTCATATATTAATCAAAAACAGAATTCCCAGAACTGTGCCTGAAAGAAGTTTGTTAAAAATACCAAACAAGTGTATCATTTTTAATTGATTTATCTTTTTATTGTTCCATTAAAAAACACATCCAATCCCTCCCTTAAAGGCACCTACTTCATATGTAGGCTTGTCCCTAATGCGCTCCCAACGAGGTTTCCCGGGAAGCGTCCTTGTGAAGGGGGCGTGGCCCTGGCTATACAACTTGCCCTGTCGGTTTAAATTCATGATGTTGATCTTGATTAGCCTGTTGGGATTCCACCCTCTGATCCCGAAGTAGAACCATGACCTACGAAGAAAAGACATATATACTCTAATACTTTCTTACATAAAGCTTTTCTTTTATCCAGATTAGTTTTTTAACTTTTAAGGATGGACCACAATATCTTCAACATTTCTTTACATTTCTTTTCTTTACTTATCAGTTTTTAAATTTATTCATTGTGAAAAATATGAAGCTTCAGAAATTATAATCCATGAAATTTCATCTTAATTTTATGAAAACATGATTATTATCTCATTTTTCTACTTTCAGTTTAGTAATAAAGAAATTACATTTCGCTGAACCAGTACCAGACATATCTGACAGATGTGCATATAGGTTATACATATACCAGATATACATATACCAGATATACACCAGATAAATTACTCAAAATGTTTTAGCTGTCACCTGTTGCCATTTTCAAACTCGGTTTCCCCACAATCAGGCTTGGTCCATACATTGAATTCAAAGTCTGGTTTGGGCTCACCATAAAACCCACCTGAAATATAACATCAATATCGTTACCGACTTCTAATGCTGTGATCCCTGTAATGCTGTGATCCCTGTAATGCTGTGATCCCTAAGATCAGTTCAATACTTAATGTTTTGTCTATTGAACCAATTTTTTTATGACTATAAGTTGAAGAAAACTGGACTGGTTTTCAAAATACAATGTAACTATCATTCAATTTCATGCTATGATCCTGAATTACAGTATTCAAACAGCACATTTAGATGACAGAACACCGATAAAATTCCTATTCCTATTCACTAGCCTATGTATTCCTGTCACATAGTGTACAATACCAACCCCGTTCAGAGACCGGGGCCCGTATTCATGAAACTATTCTCATGCCCTATCATGGCTTCTGTGCTCAAGCCAACTTTCTTGTAACTCGCTTAAATTAGTTGTCGCAATCGAAAAATCAAGTGTTAACATTGAAAAGCTTATTCAGTTAAAACTGTTTATAGTCTGTCCATTTTTTCCCATATTTTTGACAAAATTTGATTTAATTTATTAATTTTTCAAAGGAACGAGAAATCGGTTTGAGCACAGAATGTGAGTTTGAGCATGAGAACAGTTTCATGAATATGCGCCCTGAACTATGGCTTAGTAATTTTGACATCATATATAATCCTTAAGTTGGAAATTCCTGACCAATGTTGGCTGGGTTGCTAATAATAATCCATTTCATTTATTGAAATACAAAATGTACTACCTCAAATTTGAAATTTGAACAACATACATATATATGACATTTATGCAACAAACTATAATGAAATATGTTTATATAAGTTCTTTAATATGCAATAATCCAGCAGTATCTAATATATACTGTAATTCTGAAGAGATTGTAACCAAAACATAATCATAATGCATTGCCTATTATTTTACTTGTGTCCGTTACTCTACAAAATTGTATTACTACTACACTGTATACGTATAACAAATAAACTATGAAGAGAAAGCAGTTAAATACTTTAGATAATTGACAGTATAAACAGTTAAATACTTCAGATAATTGACAGTATAAGCAGTAAAATACTTCAGATAATTGACAGTATAAACAGTTAAATACTTTAGATAATTGACAGTATAAACAGCTGACGTACCGGCACCGCCTTCTTCCTCATCATCCCTGTACACCTTCTCCACCCGGGTCAGGTTTCCAGAATCAAACTTGGAGGTAAAGAAAAGTCCTCCTACTCGGAACTCCGACATTCTGCATATCAGTCAATCATCATCATCGTCAGCATTCTGCAATCAGATAAGAAATCACCCTTAAACTTGTACTACAATCTGATAACAGATCACCCTCAAGCTTGTACATTGATTTTCTTGAATTCTCCATTGTTTCATAGAAAATATTTTGTTTATTTAAAACCACTCTCTAATTACATCTAGAAATGTAATTTTTTACTATTTTTATCTTTTATTGGCATTTCCTGAATTTCCTTTACCTTGATTTTGTATCATCAGAATATTCAGGATATACGACCATTTGTAGAATTCAATTAGAGCTTCTCATTACTGCTCAGACAGCATGTTCCCCCCAAGCATTTTACTGAAAATAGCTCAGGATATTGATCAATCAATCGTTTCCACGTGCATATTGACAGTATCGTTATGTAACGGTTCACGCTACGTCAACAAGCTTTATCCTCAATCAATAATGCTGGGCCGTAAATCTAAGTCGAACAACGTTCGTATCAACAGTATAGCTGTCAGTTTAAAATCAGTTTAGGATATCTGCCATTTTTATGATTTAAAGTCCTAAATTGTACACAAGATGTGTCGATCCACCTTTCTGAGATTAATTACCTAATTATATAAGTATTCTACAATTTTTAAGAATTTTTTGTCATCACCCATGTGGTAAGATACTACGACATTATATATTGTTCCAATGTATATAAGCTCTCATCAGTTTGGGCCCATTGGAGAGCTGAATGTCAACCTGAACAGTTCGGGCCCATTAGAGAGCTGAATGTCAACCTCATCAGTTTGGGCCCATTGGAGAGCTGAATGTCAACCTCATCAGTTTGGGCCCATTGGAGAGCTGAATGTCAACCTCATCAGTTTGGGCCCATTGGAGAGCTGAATGTCAACCTCATCAGTTTGGGCCCATTGGAGAGCTGAATGTCAACCTGAACAGTTTGAAGTGATTATGATTATGTCATTATAATAACTTTACAGGTTTATGTTCCATACTGAAATTTGTCAAAGTCTCTTCTAGAACATCTTCATTATTAAAAATTAATCAAAACGGTGTAATCCAGATAATCCTATCTGCACTAATGATTTATAGTTCCAAAACATAACTAATTATAAACCAACCTGATGTTATTTTTATCTGTGAGTTGGTGGAACACAGATTTTTTGTGTGTTATGTAGTTAATATGTCCGAGACATCCCATGTATTATTGTTGTCATATATGTTATATAATAAAAACAATATTGAGTTTTCCTTTCATACTCATTGATGAAATTAAGTCTTAAAGTTTTCATTTTAGCACAGCAAAGCTATGAAAACCTCTATGTTTGTATATACCATATTGTATGTCTGTAGATGAGTGTTCTGTAGTGACAGAAGACCAATCGGATTAAAATACAGATGTTTACCTATCTCCTGCTGCATTAACGGCTAACATATCTGTGGTATAATTATCAGATTGCATAAATAGGGACCTGCATACACGCCCTTGCATTTTTATCAAGACATTTCCACTGGTAAACCATATACCTAGGTACATACAATATGTATATTACAAGTTACTGCAAATCTTTAGTTCAGCAGCCCACTAGAAATGTAGTTTCAAAAGTTTTACTCTTCAATTCCATTTGCCTACCATTAAGTTAAAATACCTGCTATACCAGATTCTACTTGGACTATATGAGCTGTTATATCAGATTCTACTTGGACTATATGAGCTGCTATATCAGATTCTACTTGGACTATATGAGATCACTTAAAATGTGGACTTATGGCAGGCAGTGGCCCCAACCAAAAGAGATCAGATTGAAGAAGTAGTCTGGGAAGACTTTATAGCTATATATATAGTCATCTGATTATGTCTTTGGAATATCATTTGTACATTTACAGAAAGCCTGTCTAGATCTGTTTCCTGTTATTGTGTCAACTCTTTCTATGTAAATAGTGAATACAGTGGTGTGTGGACAGTCACTCCTACAAAAGAAGTCAAATTCCATGAAAATAACCTATAGTGGTCCAAACCACTAATTCTGGTGTACCAGCTATAATACAGTGTATATATTTCAATACTGTCAATACCATTGTAATGCCACTTTGATATTGGCAGCTCTGTATTATCTCATTGTTAAATATGAAAGGGAAAGCCTTCTCTGCAGTTTTGACAAGATGTATGACAGAGTTTTGACAAGACGTATGACAGAGTACATGCATCAGAGTTACACCAATGACATTACAGTGTAGAAAGGATGAGTTCTTGGAGTCCAACAATGTGTCAGACACACCAGTGTGCTTACCTAGGTCATCAGAGAATTTAAAGAGGGAAGGAAATTCACACATATATGGTAAGCAGAGATATATATATTATGACTTCTTAACACAACATCAATTGCTGGAGGAGGGCATCGGGAAAGGCTGATGTATTTCACTGACAAAATCTTGTTCTCATGATCAGCTGTAATGAATTTTATTGCAAGTCTGTTGAGACGATAAGCCCAGGACCCTGTATACATACTACATGGCATTTAGTATAAGGAAATGACTAACGAAACACTTAACACTCTATAAAACTGATGTTATCCAAATTGATTCAAGGGATCCACTGGTAGAGTATAGTACTAATATTAATACCCAGCCTCCTCTGCCCGTAAAAGAAATCTCTCGTCGTCAATAACCTACGTTATTGCAGCTACTGGTAGAGTAGTGAACTACAGGTAGTAATATATAGCCCAGGTTTAATTGTGTCAATTATGTCAATTTAACACCGTTTTAAGCACTATATGCTTCTAAATGCGTATCCTTGTAGAATTTAGTTTATTGGGTACGGCAACACTTTAACAAGTTAGGTAAAAACTTGGAAGGTTCATGTTGTCAATGGATGTTAAGGTGTGACTTGAACGAGTTAACACTAGGTGCGGATATCACATGTTCCGGTAAACTGTTCCATGTGTCCACAACTCTGATGTTAAATCTGCATGGTCTAATTACTTAACCCCTAGTACCGACATTTGAAAAAGTGACCACTGTTGCATATTTCTTTTAATCAAATATCAAATTGCCACTTAAGTCAGAGATCAAACATTTAACTATTTTATAAGAATGCTAATTGTATTGTATTACTTAGAGGATACGACACACAAAATAAAAGATACTATAATACAGTAATACACACATGTCATGTTAAGTACAATCACCCCTCACATGAGTATCCGGTAGTTTCGATACCTACGAATATAGGATCAGCAATACACGGGATACGAAAAGCAAACAAGGTAGATAAAGTCGACACGTTAATAGCCGAAACGACGTTCATTTAGAAAGTACCGAAACGTACCACTGTAAACGCCTAAATAACACATTAAAATACACTAACAATCTTGTTCCAACGCAAATCCATAACTCCTTCCTAACTTAAGGGGACCGACACGTCATGAAAGAGAACAAAGGTCATTGTTCTTCTTAGGTATATGCAAGTAAACAACTTGATAATGTTTTTGACAAATGACACCGACAGCGTCTGAAACTTTACTTTGAAGTGTGATATTTGAACTACCTTGCACAATAACAAAATATTGTTCCATACCTAGGCTTTTCGGGTAGATTGTACACATTTACAATTCATTATGTTCCATTTCCTTTCAAGAAAACATGTGTTCAGCCTATTCAAACGTCTCATGAACCAATGTGGATAACCTTCCGTCGGACATGTTGTAAACTGTGGTGGTTGCCGACCATGTGATCAAAATCTAAAACACTGATTGGTCCATCCAAATATAAGTCACATGATGTATAAATGTCGGAAAAGTCAAAAACAAGTTGATTCGTGAAATCACAAATTTATTCAAACTGCCAGTTATACACCACATTTAAAAGCCAAAAAAATATTGTTGAATATATAGAACATGTACACATCACACGAAGGTTCACATTGTGTAGATTACGGACAAGGGTACTCGTTGGAACCATAATTCGGCGCACCGCTTATTAAGGATGCTTGTTCGGCATTTTAAACTTTTCTTTTACTGTAACATTGCCTCTACACAATTTCATCATAGTCATACTTGCCAACCTTTTGAAATTTTTCATGGAAAATGGGAGATATTTCTGCGCGTTCTAGGGACCAAACTTTCGGAGGAAACACTATATATCTTTGAATGTAGCAGAGACGTATAATTATATACGTCTCTGAATGTAGGAATTGTTTAGCAAATTCGCTCATTGTAAATATTATTTAAATTTAAGGGTCCAAAATAGAAAACCTCCCTCCTAATTAGGGCCGGAGAGTTGGTATATTATACGTCTCTGATAATGTTAGCGGAACTGGACTGAGTCGATCGTCTGGCTGCGACAAGATATAATGTTAGCTCAATTGGTAGATCATCCGCGTCTAGAGTTCGGAGGGTCCCGGATTCGAACCCCGGTCTGGCTGTGCATTTTTCCTCTCCTGTTACATTTGACGCCTAACGAAATATACCCACAGAATGTGGGATATATATAGGGTCTCGTGTGTCTTCGAGGTCGAAGACTTTGTTAAAAGGATAGAGGAATGTAGCGGAACTGGACTGGGTCGATCGTCGTCGCCCCAGTGTCTGTCTCCTGGGTAGATGTACATTAGTAGGGAGACAGTCAGGTGGAAGTGTCTGTCTCCTGGGTAGATGCACATTAGTAGGTAGACAGTCAGGTGGAAGTGTCTGTCAAAATGATACACGTTCTTTTGATGTATGCCTATTGCACTGCGAATGTCGGGTGTTTATCAGAATATGTCAGTGCATCTTGAACGAGGTGGTCAGAGTATCTATCACATTTCCATCCCTTGCTTTGTGTGCTTGTGCCCGTAATTTGACAAATTATTGTATTGCCTTTTATTGGATTGCATTGTTTGGAAATCATAGAAACATTGTCCGACTGAATTGTATGTAGTCTATTTTTAAACTTGCAAAGGGTGTTAGCCATTGTTATAGCCTAACAAGGGTCGAGTAATGACTCCCAATGACAGATTGTCGTGTCCGGAAAAAATGATCATTACAAAGTTTGTTCTACGAGTCCTTACTTGTAGTACATTGAACAAAAAATTAACCGATTTAACAATCTGATTTAAAAGATTATTACTACCGATTGTAAAAGTAACATAAATATCATCAATGTGATCCCAACATGTATCTATTGTGTTAATATTAACTTGAATGTTTATGAGTAAATTATTAACGCAAAGACTAACAAAGAGGAGAGGGTTTATATTAATTTTTCAGCGATTTGCCCAGTTGTTTATAGATTCCGTATTATCTCGGAGTGACCATGTCATCTTCAAAAGTAGCATACATAAATGTTACATAAGTGTTTTATTATCAACTATAGAATAATGTCACTTTGCTATTCCGGATGTTTGTTTTTAACATGGAATCAATGTTTGCCCTGTTAATTTCCTTTTTTTTTCTTACTTATGGCAGATTTTAATTGTACATAGGATTACAGTCTCATTCTAGCTTCGCGCTAGAACGATTTCCTCCTTTATCTCAGTATAATAATATGTGTGTGGTTAAAGTTACATCTAGAATGGATATTTCACAGCAGAATTGACACTTCCCAACATTGTATTCCAAGCAAATCTTTTACGACAAATCTGTTCAGAAATGGGAGTAAGATGTAGGAGGATATTCAATTAATCGAAACCAATTTGTAATATAATTTTCAAAGAAAAGTACCAGTTTCAAGAGTATTGAGATAGTTTACGTGATAACGCAAGACACGATTTGTGCAAATTTAGAACAACGAAGATATAATCATGGATGGGCACTCGAAATTCAACACTTTTGCATAAATGTTTAAATGAATCTGAAGAAGAATGTTGCATGCTGGTAAAATTCGGATTCGTGAGTTTTTCTTGCCCTACAAAATCTAGTGGAAAAGGAACATTATTACTGACATGAAATTTAAAAAGGAATATTACGCAATAATGTAGTTCATATATATGTAAGCTGATGCTCAACAAGTGCAGCGAGACTGACAGTGAGGGAGACAGTGTTACAAGTCACAGTCCAACAACATCATTATAACTCAGGGACCTGATAATTTGTTACAGCTATATTTGGACCTAAACTGAGGTGTTCAGCGTAATTTTACATGTTTTAGGGGTTTAAATCAACTTTGGGTAAACATGACACTCGTTGGGGGTGTTATTTTTAGCGAAAGTCGATTTAAACCCCTCAAACATGTAAAATTACGCCGAACACCTTAGTGTAGGTCCAACTATAGCTGTAACAAATTCTCATGTCCCTGTGCATCGTAAGATATAACCCAAATAGAAACGAATGAACCACTATACTACACCAGTTCACCAGAGGAATCCCTACTGCGTGTAAGTTGAATGTTAGAAAACTACGTTTTGAGAGTTGCATGCGAGACTTAAAAAGCAAAAAAAAAAAAGAAAAATTAAACTTGATTAGAAATATAGCAGAGCTTGGGAATATTAAGAAATTTGATAATGTGAGGATGAGCAGCGATTTAACGAAGAGAGAAAACATGGAAGGAAGTTGCACGGGGAGAAAGTTAAAGAAGAATGAAGGAAATAAGTTGAAAATTCCTTTAATAGTAACGTTTTTTTCTGAGGGTATTCTTTGGCGACCTTTTGCTATTTCATCCTATGAGAATATGGTATCTGTAGTCAACGACACTTGGTAGCGCCGGACTCAGGTGAATCAAAACTAATGAACGAAATGACATAGAAGTCGATTCAAATAGAAACTTGCGAGTTCTCAAAAAAGGATAATCGGAAAAACGGACCGAAGCTTTGGAAATAAAACCAAATGGAGTTTAAAAGGGTTATTAATAACTCGATACAACCACAGAGTAGCTATCGGACTTTAATTTGAATTATCATGGTGTTACGATATGTCGGCAGTGTATAAACTAGGAACTCAATACAGTCTCGTACTGTGATGTCATACACCAACCTGTCTACACCTCATTATACCGATAACCTTACTGCTGATCAAAGACGAGTCACACATACGTTGCGATTTCTGAATGACCCACACCCCTCTACCTCCCGTTCGGTAGCGTTAAGTGGGTGATATGATAGTCGCGTTGTCTTACAGCCCTATTGTGACTTAATTAGTTGTGATCCGATATAGAACACTGTGGCTTTTGTTCTTTAAATAGAAATGTCTTTGTGGAGACATTTACACACGATCCAGTTTGTTGGGTGTTTTGTTTAGCTTACCGAACACGTGATTATGCTAATTACTGGCGTTAATAAGGTCACTATCGTACACACATTTCCATGTCAATGATGTCACCATGTAACACGAACTGAAATTACGCCATATAGTTTCAAGTTTCAAGTTTTATTCAAACTTTGGGCCATTGANAAAATTTGAAATTATAAATTGTTCCAGAATATTAAATAATGAATCTATATAATGAATCCATATACGTGCTTCTATGTGACGATTCGATACGTGTTTAATTGTAGTCTTTTCCCCATTTTTGTTCACTTACAAATATCTAATTTATTCAATGTTTAACTTACCGATAGTTCAATATAAGTGTGTTCTTAATATATGTAGTGAAGTATCTTGGGGTAGTAAACTACTAAGGTTACTTCCGTAAATGAATTATCTGCTAAAGGAGTTTATTTAATAATACGTATTAATTACGTACTACACTGTTCTGATCTACAAAACCTAATCAATTCTATGTTTTAAATCAACGGAATGGTTTAAGTATCAGACTATTCAGGGTAAATTGTAGCCAAGGTGTTCAAAGGGGAAATGTTATGGTCGTCATTATCGCTTATTTTACAATTGGATTTCAGTGTCTGCTATAACGAAAGACATGGTCACCACGTTTTTTAACAGTTGATGGCGATGCACGTCCTTTTTATGGTATTACATGGCTTTATTCCCTTTGTTTGGTATGTTGTGGTATTACATGGCTTTATTCTCTTTGTTTGGTATCTTTTTGGTTCAATTTCGTGTTTATTTTTTATCAATGCCAGTCTCTCTATCCATCCAACCACAACACCTCACTTTAAGCCTTAGTGTTGAGCGTTCGCCCAAGTTGGGTTAACGAGTTCTGTTCCCAGGCCGGGACATACCATTTAGTCCTTAACAAAGGTAGTTGTTATTTCCGGCTAGCATTTAGGGGAATGGCAACATGTGACGAGATGGAATGCTGTGCTGGGTGCCGTCGGCCTGATATTTCAGTGAGTTAGCACTATCAAATCGGCATCAGATCCGTGCCATCACAAGGAGGCAAATGCACCAACATACCCCGTCTACAGCACACATACCAAATACACATGGAGGCACATCCTTAATTGACAATAGCTGTTGATAGGACGTTAAGCCTGGTGCAACCAACCAACCGTAACCGTCTATAATTAGAAATATATTTCAGGTTGGAGTGTGGACTAATTTACCGTCCGTAGATCATCATTCAATGTCAAAACCGTTTGATGTCTTGATATATTCTGATTTATGATCAAGTTCATGGTTTTTCCTGTGGTTGGCTTTTCTAGTTGAATTAGATTTGTTTCCAGTGTATGTAGGGCATATGTTTTCTATTTAAGAGTTGCTCTGCAAAACTAGTTAGGTTTATAATTAGTAGTGTTTAATAAGCATATTTCTCCTGAAGTGGAGTTTTTAGTAGTCCTGGCGTAAATAACGTCCGCGAAACATAGTTCCTGCTGCTGTAGGGTGCAGTATTATGGTATATTGTTTTATTACCAAATTCCACAGGTGCAATCTCCTGTGTGTGTCCTATGTCCATCTCCTAATGAGTAGGCCTGTCTTTCTGGGTAAGGCTTATAGGACCCATGGAGTCCTTTTTAATTAAGCTTGTCTTTGAGAATATCGTGCATGTTATACAGTACTGGTTTTAATGACCTGTAGTGAGTCTGACCGTCCTGATTTGAGTACCCTCATACCTACAAAGTTGCATGTTTTGCGCTGGTCAACATACGAATATCCTCTACGACCTGTACAAATTGTGGATGATTTTGGAATCACCTGCATTTACTCCTTTAAAGGCCATAGTGCATTAAAAGGACATTTTGTTATTAAAAGGACAGTCATTCAGATCCTTTGTTCATACAATGTTGATTCACCTTGGCTCCGAGATCTCCTTTAGTGATACTGAAGGTCAGGATTTTTTTTTTATTTGTATTCTCCCTATTTGGCCACACCCCTCTGCCCTCAGGGGTGCAGCATCCTTCACTTATACAACCCGGAGTCTCCTAAGCACAATAATGTTCCACCTCGAATTTGGTCAAAATCCTTTCTCCCATTCTGGAGTAAAGGTCTTTTTAGTGAAAGTTTGACAGATGGACAACAGACGATGACAGATGTTGCACCATGGTATTGCGTCACTTGCCCTTTGGGTAGCGGAGGTAAAAAAAGAAAGAACCCATTTATTTGTTTACAATATTATATATTTGAATTTCAACACAATAGAAACACACCAATCTGTTACTCGGCAGCATATGCAATACAAACATACAGTCACCTACTATAACCTGATTGAAAAGTTCAATCACAAATTCAGATGGAACCACATACAATGTGAAAATTAGGTCATATAATAAGAATTTTCCAACTAGCCTCAACATTTTTTGAAATTGCAGCAAAATGAAATTTGTGTTATGCAAATTTTTTAATATTTCAAGTTTTCTGGTTTGTTGGGCATTGTGACATAACGAACTTCCACAAATACATACAACATAATGATAAAACAGGGAACAGAGAAATCACTGAAGCACCAAAGAAACATAACTCCTAGGTGAGTATAAACAGGAGTTAAAACTGATTTAACAAAACCACTATTGCACTATATACATAAATATTACATAAAAACAATACAAAAAAGGTAATTCCTTCCATACTCTTTGGCGTAATCAAGTAACGAGGTGATGTGTCGTGTGTAGAGGTGTTCTTGCAGGAGTTTCCACTACACGATTTTAATGCAAAGTGCTTCATATGAGACGAGGTGAGCACTCTGTAGAGTTTTTTCATCATATGTTGAACTCAAATTTGTACATTAACATATTTTCCTATATATTTGACATGAAATAAAGCCAACAGTTTTGTCTTCAATGAGTGTTACCCAGTATTACTCGATGAACAAAAGGCCCAATGGGCTTGTATCACTCACTTGGCATTACCAAGTAATATCGCACCTTAAAAGAGGACCAAGTTTGAATAAAATATAACTGGGCTGAATAATCTACAGGTCATCTGGAGTCCTTTGGTTATTAAGAAGATTTTTTTAAGAGATTTTTTAACATTTGACCTTTGTGACCTTGAAAGTGGTTTAAGGTCATTCATTAAAAAAACTTTGTAGCTTATCATCGCAACATGCTGCGGTCAAATATCAGCACACTTGGATTTCAGTTATTTAGATTTTGTTCAAAGATTTTTTTAAACATTTCACCCATTTGACCTTGAAGTGACTCAAGGTAATTTCTCAACAAACATGGCTAGGCCTTCACCCCAGCATGCTATTAGCCAAATCTCAATGTCTTTTGCCTTATATTAATTTAGAAGTGTTTTTTTTATAAATTCACACTTTCAATCTTGTGACCTTAAAAGTATGTCATCATCCTTCTTCCCTGTAGGCTACTGACGAAATATCATCATTGTGGGGCTTTTGGTTATTTAAAAGTTGTTTATTTTTTTGTTAATCATTTAACCCCTGTGACCTTGAAAGTTGTTTGAAGTCATTCATTTGACCATCATTTAACCCCTGTGACCTTGAAAGTTGTTTGAAGTCATTCATTTGACCAAAGTTTCTAGCCCTTCAACCCAGCATGCTAATGGGTAGATATCACTACCCTGTCCTTTTTCAGTAGTACGAAAAAGTTGTTTAAATAATTTTTTAAACATTTGACCCCCTGACTTTAAGATTGGGGCAAAATTATTCATTGGTACAAACTTGGAATGCCTTCTTGAGAAGAGGTTGTTAAAAGGGAAAAGTTGATGCTTGATGGATTGATTGACGACAGGCCATAAGCTCACTTGGCCCTTCAGGCCAGGTAAGTTAAACACTTTGTAAAACAACCAGTATTCACAGTAATAGTCGTAAGTCGATACACTATCAGTTATTGTGCTGCTATTATTTCTCACAGAAAACCTATGTAAGTTGATGCTGTTATCCCACTGGATTACTTTCCTAACAGAATTTAACTTTTTGACATATGACTGGTGGTGAAACCTGCACATATACAACAAAAGTATTTCACCCTTACCAAAAACAATTTCTATCTTTACACGAATCAACTTGCGTGAATTGTACCCTGAACCAAACTAGGTGAACACCAGGCTTATGTTGTTAGATTAGGAATGTGTCAAACAAGCCAGTAATGCTATGTATGTGGGTCCCCTGGCAAGGATAAGGAAGGCCACGTGGACGGACAAAGCGCAATACCGGTATAAGAGCTTCAGGAAATAATGCAATGTATTGCTAACATGGAGAAAATCAGGTAAGCTGAAGATCAGAATTGTTACAGGCTTCAACAGAACACAAGCTTGATGACTTTTTTCAACTGGTACTTATAAGATGTATTATGCAATTTCATAAAAATCTCACATTATTTTAAATACACTCACTGGTTTCATTCTGTAATGCCAATATGTAGACTAGACATGCTGGATTAAAAGAAGGAATGAGAAAAACAATTTCTAAAGAAAAGAAGAGAAAAACAGGTTTTAACATTTACAATATATTTCAATTACATTGTACATGTACCAATCTGACAGGGGAAATATGAACACACTGTTCCAAACAACAATATATATATATACTTTCTGGAATACAATTAAAATACATAGTATGTAAATATGTATACATATATACTTGATCTGAGTAAGGATTTCTTAGACCATAATGTGGAGAAATATATATATATTGAAAAACATAACAGGATATAAAAAAATGTATAAATATCTTCACATATATATATTAAATTTACTTGAGCAACAGTAAAGAAAAATATTCATGATATGCAAAAAAACAAAACTATGTAAATTAACATGAAAATATGTGTAGAAATGCGCATTAAACGACCGGAAAAAATAAATGCATCACAAATTCACTTGTATTAGAAATCAAAATGTCTGTCTGGATATGCATCACATGTTTCAAGCAAAAATAGTATTATAACCATATCAGTTTCCAAACTACAGCAAACAAATTATTACTATATCTGACAGACTACAGCAAACAAATTATTACCATATCTGACAAACTACAGCAAACAAATTATTACTATATCTGACAAACTACAGCAAACAAATTATTACTATATCTGACAAACTTTTCTGTAACATGAGAAAATACCTACAACCTGTTTGAAATCACGACTGGAACCCATTAACAGAAAGCATGATGATAATTTAATTCTGGGTTGGTGACATTGTGGGTTGGTGACATTGTGTGTTGGTGACATTGTGTGTTAGAGACATTGTGTGTTGGTGAGGTGACATTGTGTGTTGGTGACATTGTGTGTTGGTGACATCGTGGGTTGGTGTGTTGGTGACATTGTGTGTTGGTGACATTGTGTGTTGGTGAGGTGACATTGTGTGTTGGTGGGGGGACATTGTGTGTTGGTGAGGTGACATTGTGTGTTGGTGACATTGTTTGTTGGGGACATTGTGTGTTGGTGACAATGTGGGTTGGTGACATTATGTGTTGGTGAGGTGACATTGTGTGTTGGTGACATTGTGTGTTGGTGACATTGTGTGTTGGTGACAATGTGGGTTGGTGACATTGTGTGTTGGTGAGGTGACATTGTGTGTTGGTGAGGTGACATTGTGTGTTGGTGACATTGTGTGTTGGGGGTTGGTGGGTTGGTGACATTGTGGGTTAGTGACATTGGGCTACATGGTACTCCCTGTGCTAATGAATATGGTATAGGTTTCATGAGGTACAATTTCATAACCTTTGCTCACTTTCACATCAAATTTAGATTAGTAAAATATATTTGTTTAAACTTGTGTTATCATCTGAAAGAAACAACCGTACTCCAAGACGTCCCGTTCATCAGGAATGTAAATAACAATTGTACACAACTCTACCAGGGCAATCAAGCTCTGGCAGCAGATATACATCCAAGGACATAAACAAAATATTATAATGTTTTGGCAAGTTTAGAATTGTTACCTGACAATAAGTTTTTTTGTCTTAAAAACCTTCATCAACAGACAACATATACTAGCAATATCAAGTACTTGACAAACACCTACAACTAATTAAATATTGGTGAACTAGAAACCAACAGTATTTCTAAAGGAGGTATCACATCGAAGCTGCTACTGAATTAAAGATATTATTCACCTTTCAATGTTGTACATATTTTAACAATGAATTTCTTCATTTCCACTGGTCCACAGTTATCAAATTAAAAGCAAGGATTTATATAATGTATATCAAAGCTATGATGATATTAAAATAAATAATCTTTTGTACAAATTTGAATATTTTATTATATAATGGATATGTTAAATGATGGCTGTCATCCTGTGGCACCATAAGAGGTGGATGGTTTGGCGCCTACCGGGGAGTCGTCGTGACTAGAGAGCGTGTCTAAAGAAGTCGAACTCTCCTCTGGCAAAGGTGATAAAAATGGTGCTCTGTCATTGTCACTGAGGTGTTGGATATCGCCTTTTGGCTGGACTTCACCAACATTGACAGTGGCCAACAGCCAGCCTGCAACAAAACAATCAACATTGACAGTGGCCAATAGCCATCCTGCAACATAACAATCAACATTGACAGTGGCCAATAGCCAGCCTGCAACAAAACAACCAACATTGACAGTGGCCAATAGCCAGCCTGCAACATAACAATCAACATTGACAGTGACCAACAGCCAGCGTGCAACAAAACAATCAACATTGACAGTGGCCAACACCCAGCCTGCAACAAAACAATCAACATTGACAGTGACCAACAGCCGGCCTGCAACAAAACAATCAACATTGACAGTGACCAACAGCCAGCGTGCAACAAAACAATCAACATTGACAGTGGCCAACAACCAGCCTGCAACATAACAATCAACATTGACAGTGACCAACAGCCAGCGTGCAACAAAACAATCAACATTGACAGTGGCCAACAACCAGCCTGAAACAAAATAATCAACATTGACAGTGGCCAACAGCCAGCCTGCAGCAAAACAAACAACATTGACAGTGGCCAACAGCCAGCCTGCAGCAAAACAAACAACATTGACAGTGGCCAACAGCCAGCCTGCAGCAAAACAAACAACATTGACAGTGGCCAACAGCCAGCCTGCAACGATATCGCCTTTTGGCTGGACTTCACCAACATTGACAGTGGCAAACAGCCAGCCTGCAACAAAACAATCAACATTGACAGTGGCCAACAACCTGGGACCCTGCCAGCGGGTCAAAGTCATTCATGATAACTTAAACAAACTTGACAACCCTTTTCTCTGCATGCTTCTGGTCAAATATCATCACCTTAATGCTTTCTGTTAAGTGTGTCAAGGTCATTTTCATTTGCAAACTTTGTTAGGCTCCATTACAGGAAGCTACCAGCCAAATATTAAGATGTATGCCTTTCGGTTCTTTAGAAGAAGTTCTTTGACGTTTTTGACTTATTTGCACCTTCGACCTTGAAAACAGGCCAAGGTCATTATTGTTTTTAAACCGTATCAGGCTCTAACCCAGGAAGGTACCAGTCAAACATCAAAACTCTTAACATTTCCATTCTTTTGAAGAAGTATTTAAAGGAAAAGTTCACGGACACACCAGACACCATGGCATAATGACTTTCCTTTTTAGGCAGGTGAGCTTAAAATTTAGTCAGGAATGCACATTTAGAGATTATGTAGCTATGATCTTGATCTGAACATATGACATTGAGCTTCGACTGGTCTCGAGTGATCGATGTCAGGAATATTGGTGTGAAGTTTTATGAAATTTGGCTGTAATTTGCGTTAGGATCTGAAAAAACCAAATATCTGACTTTTTTTATCATCATGTGTAGCTGTAACCATGATCTTGAACATTTGGTGTCAGTCAGTGTTCTTGTGGTGTCAGTAAGCACATTTATATTGAATCAGATAGCACACTTGGATGACCTATGAGTAACAGTCTATATTGCATAAAGAAGGAGAATACATGCCCCTCATATGTCACAGATTATTCCCCTACCCGACCAGTGATTGATTCTACTTTTGAGGAGGCACGGCAATCTAGTGGTAGGACACAGGGCTCGTGAGCGAAGGGTTGCAGAGAGTTAAGAAAGATATTTGCTAGTTGCCAAGGCCCTATAACCATGGATAACAGTTTGTGAACCGCTTTGAGTCGACCTACGAACTAGGTTGTGATAAAGCAGTATAAGAACCTCTAACTATTATTATTTGACAGTCGACAGAGTTGTTCTGGGTTGTGAGACCTACCTGGGAATATGTTGCCTGTCACCTGCTGTTTACTATCTACAGAGGCCGTTTCAGACAAGACACCTGCTGACTCGGACCCACTCTCCGGGCTCCTGTTCATGGTGATGAAGTACACTCCCACAAACGACATCAAACACCTGTAGGTACAAAAGTTCAGGTCACATTCTGTATAGAGGACATTTTTATAGTGGTGTTATTTCTATGGTATGATAAAGCCACAAATTGAAAACAACAGCAATTTATTTTTTCTCAGCTTAGTAACACCACATACTCAAGTCCTGAAAAGGACAAATCCAACACCACACTTGAACCTGAAAATTACACTCCATGAAATTAAAGCTGAATGAATCAGTACTCATATACCCTAAAGCTCCTGTATTTTATGTCCTTTATATTTTAACCATAACAGTTGATTTATATCATTAACAGGCTGTGATGTCAGAAAGAGTTATGTCCCCTTCGTTGATTTATATCACTAACAGGCTGTGATATCAGAAAGAGTTATGTGCCCTCCATCGATTTAGATCACTAACAGGCTGTGATGTCAGAAAGAGTTATGTCCCCTCCGTTGATTTAGATCACTCACAGGCTGTGATGTCAGAAAAAGTTATGTCTCCTCAGTTGATTTAGATCACTAACAGGCTGTGATGTCAGAAAGAGTTATGTCCCCTTAGTAGATTTATATCATTAACAGGCTGTGATGTCAGGTAGAGTTATGTCCCCTCTGTTGTTTACATCGCTAACAAGCTGTGATGTCAGGAGGAGTTATGTCCCCTCAGTTGATTTGTATCACTAATAAGCTGTGATGTCAGGTAGAGTTATGTCCCCTCAGTTGATTTATATCATTAACAGGCTGTGATGTCAGGGGGAGTTATGTCCCCTCCGTTGTTTAATATCACTAACAGGCTGTGATATCAGGTAGAGTTATGTCTCCTCAGTTGATTTATATCACTAACAGGCTGTGATGTCAGAAAAAGTTATGTCCCCTCCGTTGATTTAGATCACTAACAGGCTGTGATGTCAGAAAGAGTTATGTCCCCTAAGTAGATTTATATCACTAACAGGATGTGATATCAGAAGGAGTTATGTCCCCTCCGTTGATTTAGATCACTAACAGGCTGTGATGTCAGGTAGAGTTATGTCCCCTCCGTTGTTTAATATCACTAACAGGCTGTGATGTCAGGAGGAGTTATGTCCCCTCAGTTGATTTGTATCACTAACAAGCTGTAATATCAGGAAGAGTTATGTCCCATTAATTGATTATATCACTAACAGGCTGTGATGTCAGGAGGAGTTATGTCCCTTCTGTTGTTTACATCGCTAATAGGCTGTGATGTCAGGAGGAGTTATGTCCCCTCAGTTGATTTATATCATTTACTCTTACCTGTATACTCTGTGTTGCTAATATTTGTAGAGCAAGTAAAATTTTCAGTTTTATTACTGGAAACTAAGTGGCCATATGGCACTGCAGGATCAGCAACATTGTGCCAAATGTCAAGATCCTGATGTACAGTGTACCAGTGATCCAGTGATCTACAGTGTAACAGTGATGTACAGTGTACCAGTGATCTAGTGTATCAGTGATCTACAGTGTATCAGTGATGTACAGTGTACCAGTGATCGACAGTGTACCAGTTTAAGTTTGCATGATGCTTCATCCACTAAACAAAAGGCTGACATAACTTGTGTTCAACATTATTTAATCAGAAATATGATATTGTTGGCCATAATTCAAAACTGCACAGCCCCTCTGTCTTTTAGTCCAAAGGTTTTTAGAATTTTCCAGAGTTGTGCCAATTCATGCCAATAACAGGCCTTAATTTAGACCTCCATGTTTTAAGCAAAAATGGATGTTTTGACATTTGGAGATTGTTATTGATGTTAAAAATGTATCTTTAATTAGGGACATTTTTCAGAAACAGTTCTTATTAAACTTTTTAATTTCTTTGAATTTTTTGTTTGATTTGGCTGTTTTGTTGGCCTTTTCCAAATTGCAACCTCACTAAAGATCAGCAAGGTATTGCCTTCCTATATCCAACAGATTTGATTAGGTTAAAATTTCACTTATCATTGTTTACCGTCAATAGTCCTAACTAACCTTATACCCGAAGTGCAGAAAATTTGTGAGGTTTACATTTCACGTAATTTTTGAGGCTCTACTAGACCACTAGATTGTTAAGATTTAACAATGCTGACATTCTGACCTATATAATCATAAAACCTGACAATTTATATTACGTTTACTCTGTTCATGGTGTCACCAATTTACAGGTAGTTCAGTCCGTCAGAAGACTGCTCCGCATAATGAGTACTGTTTTTGTCGGAAGGTCAATGCAAATTCCTTGGAACCTATACCTATAGAGGAAGGTCAATGTAAATTCCTTAGAACCTATACCTATAGAGGAAGGTCAATGTAAGTTCCTTGGAACCTATACCTATAGAGGAAGGTCAATGTAAATTCCATGGAACCTATACCTATAGAGGAAGGTCAATGTAAATTCCTTGGAACATATACCTATAGAGGAAGGTCAATGTAAATTCCTTGGAACCTATACCTATAGAGGAAGGTCAATGTAAATTTACTGGAGTATTATAGAAGTAACGCTGTAGATATCTAAACATTCTAACACTTGGCACAATTCTAGGGTAATTATGTTATATCTTGGTGATATATTAATTTCTTGTTCAAAATGATAATTTAAAATTTACTCCTTATTCAGTTTCACAACCAGGTAAAAAAACTTCAACTTTTTATGTATGAAAAAGTACTCTATGTGTACAAAGGACAGTGGGGAGATTTACGTACCCGACCAAGAACATACAGATCTCCAGGCCATTGAGTCCCCAGAACTCCTTGTAAAATACAATACCTGGAACGAAAATAGCATGGCAATAATGAATTGGTTTAAAATCAATGTTTGTTGAAGAAGAATTGACTACTGCTCCCACAAATCTGTTACAAACGCCACTAAAATAAATATTGCCCGCTATACCTACTTTTGTCCGATCTGTAAACAGTTTTAATGCCTTCCAAAATTCTTGAATATAAAAAGAATGTGAGTGGGGCTTCTTACAGATCCCACCACACACCTCAAGTGGTCATGTGTGACCTTTCATCTCTTAAAATGACCAATGACCATCAAAATGCCGAAATACTGGATGCCTAGTACCACTACTCATCACCCCTAACCCCCAACCCCACCCTCCGTTTAAAATCAGTTAATCATGGTTAAGGGATTTTTAGAACAGAAAAAGAAATGTGGGCATTTTGGATCCCAGTACATGTAACTAGATGCCATTTAGTATTCAGTGACAGATTAAAAGATAAAAAGTTCCAAATGTTAAAGACAAGTGAGATTCTTAAAAATTAAGATCATTTCATACATTTTGAAATATACAGTTAATTTTTAATGTCTGTAAATATCAGTATGGAGACCAGATTTCGTGAACATTTCAGACGATGACATTGTGTGAACTGCAGACTCACCCGCCATGATTGCACTGATGGTGAAGAACACAAAGTTGGTGGGGACCACCACTGTAGACTCAAAGCTCTTCATGGCTTCATTGAGAAATCTGAAACAGACAAAATCATGTCTTAGCTGAACAAAAGCGAAACACATCAGCTAGGTGATATTTTAACCTGAACCTTTCACCTGATTTGGTTAAATGTAACATTAATTACCTTGAAAGGAATTTATTGATGTCTCATATAACTGTAACCATGCGATTCTGACCTTGACCTTTGATCTCTGTATCTTGACCTCTTGGTATGCAATTTTAGACAGGTTGCTGACCTATCATTACTTTAAGAGAAATAACACAGGTGTAAACCTGTGAAATCTCCAATGAGGGAACTACTTTGCTCAATTTATCTTTCACTTTTTATGTTTCAAAATAACTCCAAAAAGCTTTCATTTGGTTCAGACACACCTGTTAAGATCATGACACACACCCTGTAGTAACTAGGAGATCATTTGACCACAGGATGTAGATTTTCAGTTTGTGTGAGTTTGGACTTGAATGAGGGAGTTTCGAGGAAGATTGATAAATTTTGGTCCAAATGAGTGTCCCTCCTACTGTGGGAGGGTTGACAGCTATGCAACTGATGTTTAATAATTTCAACAAAATGAACTTGACATTAAGCTCTATAATGCTGCCTTTACATCTGTTTCCATATCTACCAGGTAAGTGAAAATCTGGGGGAACTTTCTACCCATAAATCTGGGAGAAATGGGAGTTGAGAAAAAAGATTGATATATGCACACCATGACAGAAAATCAACAGTAGCAACTCCCTAGCCACACTTGTGGTATTTTCCCACACCAAATTGATTAAAATTTTGTCAAGATTACAGCTAATAAATTGTCAACGTTGAAGAAATAAAAAATCTGCAAATGTTGAAAAATCCACCCTTTTTGGGGCGATTAAAAAATCCTAATATCAATGATACATGTATTTGGTTTTTACAGTACTAGTAACACTCAGCGAATAGACATCATACATAGTTTGGGGATTCATTTTTTAAAGAGGCTGGAAAACGAAACATTGGATTATCTGTCAACTTTCTCCTCGCTGAATATGTGTTAAGATCACTGACATAAGGGTCCATTAGCGACGACAAGTGAGCTACCAGTTTGTTGGGTTCGTATGTTGATAGATACGTACCAGGTAAGATAAACATGACAGATTAAGCCACCAAGATGCACTACCGCGTGCACAGAACATGTCATTTAAGTTGAGATTTGGCTTAGTCTCTTGATAGGCACACATTTATCATTTCAAACCCAAATTCAATATTGTCAGTTGTGTAATTAATCTCATATTTTGCTTGGTGCAACGGGAAATAATCTGACAGAGTATGTAATGAAATCAATTAAACTGAAATATTGAAATTTCCGATGACATTGATATCAACAAGTGCACTTATACAGGTATTTGATAAATACTGTCTAGTACTTCTTGAAAAATAGTGATAACGAACTGAAATTGTCAAAATCGGAGATAGCTGCATAGCGACCATTTTGTTTTTCTGATCATACCTACAAAAAGCAATATATGATATTTGATGAAAGAATTTCAAGTGCTTTGTGAGAAATAGTGATAACGAAATTAAAATGTCAAAATTTAAGATGGATGTCTGTTGCCCATCCCATTTTTTCAATCTGTCTCAAAATGGAACAATTTCCACAATGACAGACAAGTGGGAAGCTACATGTGAAAACTGAAAATACAATTAGTCCCAATATTAGATATGAATAACTATGAACCATGGGAAACCTTCAAATAAAATTCAAGATTCAAGATGGCCATCTTTGTTTTCTTATCAGTCCCAAAATTCAATATGCTTGACTAAATACCATGGGCAGCCAACATATGAAAGTTGAGAAAGATGTCTCCAGCCTTTCTGAATAATATACAAACAAGCATTAACTTTCAAAATTCAACATGGCCACCTGTCCGCCATCTTGGCTTTCTGATCAGTCCCAACATCCAATAGGAATAACTAAGGACCATTGAAATTTCACATGTGAAATTTAAGAAAGATTCCTGAGAAATAGCACTAACAAGAATTGTTGATGGAAGGCCAGACAGAATGACGGATGGACAGATGGATGACAGATCACAGACTAAGGGTGATTTGAATAGCCCACCCTCTGATGATAGCATGCTAAAAATATAAATGGCATAAAAGTACATGCCAGTATTATTGAAACAAAAATGATCACATTTACACATACAATTTCAATATCTGCTTTGATTATGTTAACTGATTGCTAAAACAATACATACACAGCACTTGAGGGTTGCCTGTTATTAGTGTGTTTCTAACTAAGAATGCAGATTAAACCTCCCACTTTTGATTTCCTTTACTCCTGAAAACATTGCTAACTACAGTATGCTAGGTGGTGAGATGCTGTCAGAAGATACATGCAGATTGCAGCTTGGAGACAAAATCAATAATCAATCTCAAGAACTGTATAACAAGTCAAAACTTAGATGCCATTTTATAGTCTCAAAATTGAAGTTTCAGGAGGACATGATTGAAGGTTTAATGTGGGAATAAAAGACTTATGAAATGTTTAGGATTTAGATGTTGTTAACAAGCTTGTATCAATGTTACACTGCCGTCTCAGTACACCATCTGTTACGCTACACTGCCATCTCAGTACACCATCTGTTACGCTACACTGCCATTTCAGTACACCATCTATTATGTTACACTGCCATCTCAGTACACCATCTATTACGTTACACTGCCATCTCAGTACACCATCTGTTACGTAACACTGCCGTCTCAGTACACCATCTGTTACGTTACACTGCCGTCTCAGTACACCATCTGTTACGTTACACTGCCGTCTCAGTACACCATCTGTTACCTTACACTGCCATCTCAGTACACCATCTGTTACGCTACACTGCCGTCTCAGTACACCATCTGTTACGTTACACAGCCGTCTAAGTACACCATCTGTTATGTTACACTGACGTCTCAGTACACCATCTGTAACGTTACACTGTCATCTCAGTACACCATCTGTTACGTTACACTGCCGTCTCAGTACACCATCTGTTACGTAACACTGCCTTCTCAGTACACCATCTGTTACCTTACACTGACATCTCAGTACACCATCTGTTACGTTACACTGCCGTCTCAGTACACCCTCTATTATGTTACACTGCCATCTCAGTACACCATACATTACATTACACTGCTGTTTCAGCACAGTATCTATTACATTACACTGCTGTTTCAGTATATCATCTATTACATTACACTGCTGTTTCAGTATATCATCTATTACAGTACACTGCCGTCTCGGTACACCATCTATAATATTACACTGCTGATTCAGTACACCATCTATTATATTACACTGCTGTCTCAGTACACCATCTAAAATATTACACCACTGTTTCAGTACACCATCTTTTATATTACACTGCTGTTTCAGAATACCATCTATTATATTACACTGCTGTTTCAGTACACCATCTATTATGTTACACTGCTGTCCCAGTACACCATATATATAACACTAAACTCTCAGTACACCATCTATTATGAGATTACAGGTTAAGCTGCATGATCTCACAACATGATGGTATGAGGCAACCAATGCTGGGCCTCCTACAGGGATTTGTCTACCGTATCTACTACGTAGGAGGCATTGAAGAGCTAACACTGACCTCATTTCAGTTCTTGTAGCCTTAATTATCATTTCCATTTTTTTTTTACAGCAGTGTCCTTACCAGCATTCCCCAACTAATTGTCAAGTAATATTCAGAAGAGTGACTGTTTTCTGGTAAAGTGATACAACATATTGACCTGGGGTTATCCTGCTATCTATCAGCTGGACATCTATAGAATCAGTAAATACATATATATAAGGAACCTTACAGGGAACCTGGACCTGTAGGGTATTTGTAACAGGATAATGGAAATACATCAGAAATCAAATGAATGATGCTACCATTACTAAGTGTTAATGACTTACTTGACTTGTATAACCGCGGTGATGATCATGACAATAGCCATGGCGTACAGTATAGGGTGACCAAACTGGGACTGGCCCGCAAACGACAGCTGGATCATCCCCGACAGTCCTTTGGCACATATGACGGTGAAGGAGGCTGACAATGTAGTGTTAATTTAGTTAATGAAGTTAAGGACACAGCACCATAACTTATTTTCATATTAAAATCTGTATTACAGATCTCTGGAATAAATTATTATTGACACAAAATGATAGATATCCACACAAGTTTGAACCAGATTATTTTTTATTCAAAGCCCGAACATGTCACAATTTGGACACATCAAAGTTTTGATCTGTTTATAGATTTCAAAAATCAGCTTTATGATATAGTGTATTACAAATGAACAGCCATGTACAATAAACCAGTAGTCCTTACAGAAACTAGCAGTGTGAAACAGATATTGTAAATACTACTGTGATCTTATAGGGAGTAATACCAGTAATTATTATGTTTGTTGGGTACCATCAATATGTGTCTCCAGACAGGAATGCTCCCTCGGCCCTGTGGTTGTCACATAGCAAGGAACACTGACCTTGCCATTTAACTGTGGACCCTAAAATGGAAACTCACTCAAGGCATTCTCATACTTGACCTTTGTGTAAATTTTGATGAAAATCTGTAAGAAATGAAGTCGGTAGAGCCATGACACCCACAATGACTCGGGACCAGATGAGACTGAGTAACACTATAGGGCCCCTATAAAATGGTGGGGGCATACAAAATCTTCTATAACAATTTTTTTTTTTAATAAATTTTAAAACCTTTTTAAAGCTATAGATGGCATGTGTAAGAGGCTATGAGATGAAACTTACCTATAACAGAGGCTATGAGATGTGACTTACCTATAACAGAGGCTTTGAGATGAAACTAACCTATAACAGAGGCTATGAGATGTGACTTATCTATAACAGAGGCTATGAGATGTGAATTACCTATAACTGAGGTTATGAGATGTGAATTACCTATAACTGAGGCTATGCGATGTGACTTATCTATTACAGAGGCTATAAGAGGTGACTTACCTATAACTGAGGCTATGAGTTGTGACTTATCTATTACAGAGGCTATGAGAGGTGACTTACCTATAACTGAGGCTATGAGATGTGACTTATCTATTACAGAGGGTATATAACCGAGGTTATTAGAGGTGACTTACCTATAACTGAGGCTATGAGATGTGACTTATCTATTACAGAGGCTATGAGAGGTGACTTACCTATAACAGAGGCTAAGAGATGTCACTTACCTATAACAGAGGCTATGAGGGGCGACTTACCTATAACAGAGGCTAAGAGATGTCACTTACCTATACCAGAGGCTATGAGAGGTGACTTATCTATCACAGAGGCTATGAGATGTCACTTACCTATAACAGAGGCTATGAGAGGCGACTTACCTATAACAGAGGCTAAGAGATGTCACTTACCTATAACAGAGGCTATGAGAGGTGACTTACCTATAACAGAGGCTATGAGAGGTGACTTACCTATAACAGAGGCTATGAGATGAGACTTACCTATAACAGAGGCTATGAGATGAGACTTACCTAAAACAGAGGCTTTGAGATGAGACTTACCTATAACACAGGCTATGAGATGAGACTTACCTATAATAGAGGCTATGAGGAGATATATCACCACCTTCTTGATCTCCATCCAGTACAGTATCATAAACAGCACAACCAGGGATACCAGCTCTAAACACTATAAACAAAAGAATTCTTCACAATGTAGGATAACCCAATGCAGTTGAGACTAGAGCCATGAACACTTAACAAGAGGCCCAAGGGCCTTAGCGTTCACCTGAGTTATATCATAGGTACTGGTAGCTTTATTTTATTGTTTAGATGTGATGTGGAAATCAGCATGTAAACTATGTGAAATACAATACTTGTCATGTCATCAAAGGATAAGAATTTTAAAATATTTGTAAATGTTCCCTTTGGGGCCCCGCTCTAACCCCAGGGGATGGGGCAGGAAGTTTACAGGTTTACAATGTGATACCGTCATCCACCAAAGATGATTCTGACCAAGTAAAAATAATTTCCAACAGAAAATTGTCAAAATATACCCAAAAGTGTTGTTTCCCTATATAAACTATAGTAAACTTTACCCCCTCCCCAAGGGAGAAC